CACATTAATTCAGAAACTTCAGACAGAGCTGAGTTCCTATCCAGGTTCTATCACTTTCTCCTACTTGTGTAGGTTAGGGACCATAATTAACTTCCTTGCACCCCCAGGTGTCTCACTTGTTAAAAATGGGGTAAGATTTCTGCTTCCCTACAAGGAGGAAAGTCTCAAGGACATGTAAATGGAGGCATCCATAAGCACTCAGTCACGGTAACTTTTGAGGCTATTGTTGATCTTGGCCTTCAATTGTGTGTTGGAGGTACAGAGCCAAATCCTGCTCTCATGAGGCTCACTTGTCTGATGGAAGAGACAGGCCCAGGGGCAAATTAATGAAATGGCAGAGTAAGATCTGCTTCAATGATATGTGGGGACAAGATGAAGAGATGGCATGAGAGGAGGAAATGGGCTCTGCCTGGGTAGAGGTGGCATGAGACAACTGTCTTGAGGTTCTGATCAAAGCATGGGTGGAGCCCCAACTTTGGTTTATCTGCAGCCACAACTTGAATGGCCAAGATTTCATCACGGGATGCCAGCTAATCTGCTTCCTGGACTCCTTGCTCTTCAGTCTTACTTTGAAAGCAAACAGCATTTCTGTTAAAATCAAAGGGCTTCCCTTATAAGGAGACTTCCCTTCTGAAATATTCTGGTCTCTGGTACCCTACGTTAATAACAACACACATGTAAAAGCTGGTTAGAGTTCAGGAAACCGGAGGAGATGGTGTGGTGAAGAGAGAAGTTTAGTACCTACTTGCCTATGGGGGAGATAAATTAATATTCACATGGGAATCAATCTTTTTGAGAACCTGATAAATGCCAGGCACTGCCATGAACTTATTACCTCACTTAATCCTCCTAGTGACCCTATGAAGGTTTTATTGCCCCTCCTTTGCAGATGAGAAACTAAGACTAGCTAGATGTGTTAGTAGGGTTGCACAGTTCAGTGGTAGCATCCCTATTAAAACCCAGGTTTGGCCCTGGCCAGTGTGAATCAGTTGGCTGAGCATTATTCCATGCATCAAGCAGTCACCAGTTTGATTCCTGGTCAGGGCACATGCCTGGGTTGCGGGCTCAATCCCCAGTAGGGGGCTTGCAGGAGGCAGCTGATGGATGTTTCTCTCTGTGTGTCCTTCTTCCTTCATTTCTCTCTCAAATCAATTTTTAAAAACCATATTTAAAAAACAAACAAGCAAAAAACCCCAAAACAACAATAATAAAACAGGTTTGCCTAATTCCAAAGCTCATGCTCTTTCTACTTGTTCCCTAGAGCTGCTGTATAGCTGTCATCTCGGGATCCCCCTTTATCATCATTTTAGGAATTCCCTTCCTTTACTTTGTTTTCTGAAGCTCACGCCCTCCCCTTTCTTGGCAGCTCCCTTGTTTAGCTGGAGTACATCCCTTGGGAGTTGCCTGAGAATGGGTGAGTAGGTTTGATGACAGTGCCTATTTAAAATGTCTTTATTCTACCCTTTCACTTAATGTGTGGTTCAGCTAAATTAGAGTTCTAGCTTGGAAACATTTCCCTCAGGATTTTGAAGACACTGTTTCATGGTCTTCAATATGGCTATTGGGAAAGTCTGATTCTATTTTGATTCTTGATCTTCTATGCTTTCAATTTTTTCTCTCTCTAGAGCTTATAGAATAATCTCTTTTGCCTCCATTGTTATGACTTCTTAAAATGATGTGCTTTGTTGTGGCTCTGTTTTCATCTATTGCACTGAGCTAGACATTCATATTCTTCAATTCTGGGAAATGGTTTTGATTTATTTCTTGGATGATTTCTTTCTCATTTTCTCTCTTTCTGCAACTCCTATTATTTGCATGTTAGGTTTCCTAGAATGATTCTCCACTTTTCTCATCTGTTTCCAGTTCTTTGTCTTCACTCTATTTCCTGGGACATTTCTACAACTGCATTTTCTAAACCTTCTATTGAGTTTATTTTTAAATCTGTGCTTTCATGTTTAGATTTTTAAAAGCTCCTTTTCTTTAGGTATTCCCTGAATGTTCTTGCCCTAGCATTGTGTTCTTGTTTCATAGATACACGATCTCCTCCTATCTTACTGAGGTTATTAATGATGTGTTTTATTTTTAAGTTTTCTTCTCTGTGAATCTCCTCGATTTCTCATGTGTAAGAGTGAACTACAGAAAGTTAAGAGCCCGTGGGTCCTGCTGAAGCTTGAGATGTGATCCTCACTGTAGATTGCTTTGCTGGGCTAATGTCCTTGGGGAACTATCATGTTAGTATCTTTACGGTTTTCTCTCAGGCTTATCAGATTCCCCAGGAAGACTGAACTTCTGCCCGGAGGATCCATGCTTGGCTGTTGACGTCTGGGAGCCAAGTAGCGAGAGAAGGCTAGGCAGTCTCGACATTCCTTACGCATGGCTTCACTTGCCAATGCGGTATTTCCAGTGTCAACTGTGTGTGCCTTGTTTTCCTTCACTCAGAGACTCTTTATTTTGCCCCCTTCAGAGGATAAACTTCCTGTCACTTGCTGGCATTGGGAAAGAGCAGTCACTCAGCTACTTAGAGTGGGGAAGGAGACCTGGGGTTTTTAAGTAGACTTGAAAGCCACCCTCCTAATTTTAGTCCCGCCTTCTCTACCATATCCAGAGGTAGCTGATGCTGCCAATTCCTGGGCCTTGTTGGGGGTGGGGATGGGGTTCTGCGACACAAATATGGTTGCTTCTCAACTTTCCCCATTTACTCAGTCAGTTACCAAGGAGCCATCACTGTCCAGCTTCAGATTGTGTTACTATGGCCTCTTCCTCCATTTTCCTTGGCCCGGCTGGTTTATGCCTTTCGGAATACCTCTTATTGTCCTTTGAGTCTTGCATGAGGAAATGGAGGTATGTTCACTCTCCTCTCTTTACCTGGAGGTCCAGTAGTTCTTGGCTTTAAAGAACTAACACTTCATATCTCATTTAGTTTGAAATATGTGGACCACACGCCTTTCATGGAATATTAAACTTCCTCCAAAAGAAGTTTCTTAAGTGATGGAGACCCATGAAGTTTTTCCTTTTAGAAAAAATAATGTGAATGTGAAGCTTCAGCCACCTCCTAAACCTTTGACCTTGTGCTTCTAAATTTCCCAGACAGGCAGATAATCCCAGCTTCGCCCCTCCCAGGTTCCCATCCCCCTTAAAACAGAGATTCCTGAGTCCATTTTCTTTAATGTTTCAACTGTAGCCTTTTAATAGTTTCCAATAAATGCTTTCAACTGGGCAATACACATATCAATGCTTTCCTTGTTACTGGCCCATCAATAAATATACAAAAGTCAGAGGAAGGGAGTACTGTGAAAAATCAAAATAACAATGGTCACCAGACACATGCAAACAATAAAATATTCTTGGAAAACTCAAAGTGATTTACAAAAGGCATAACTATGACACAAAGGTGAATGAACCATTCTATTCTTGTTCGGAAGCACATTTATCTTCTACAGAAGTGGGAGGTTTCCTTCCTCCTACTCCCACTAACACAGCATTGAATGAACATTGGCTAAGAAATTGGTCCTTGGTGTCATAGTCTTGATGTACAACTTTTTGAGGGGTTTTGTTGGAGAAATCTATTCTGCAGGTTAAAATCTGCAAAATATAGATATGAAGGTGTCTTTTGTCCCATTTTATTTTTCACCCAGTGCTAATTTAAAGGGAGCCCTCAGGAGACATAAAAGATTTATGATTACAGGAAAAATTACCTTTTAAGCTCTCAGCTTTGCAGGCTTCTCATCTTTCCTCTTTTAACTTTGCAAACAATGACATGCTGGCCCCTCACTAATAGAAGCAAGGCCCAGGTGAATGACTTAGCCCAGGTCATCTGGCAAGTCACTGGTAGGAATGATGTGTAGCCAAGCTGAGCTTCTGGAGTTACAATGTTACGTCAAATGGGAGAGAATGCATCCTAGTCCATGAACTTCAGGCAATAGTACAAGTGTAGTGCACCTAAGAGATGGAAGCTCTAGACTTCCTTATTTCTCCTTCTCCACTTCCTCTCCCTCTTCCTCTCTCTCCTCCTATCTCCTCTTCTCCTCCTCTTTCTCTTCCTCCTCCTCCTTCTCACATTCTCTTCCTCCTTCTTCTCTTCTTCCTCCTCACTCTCCCCACTTCCTCCTCCTCCTCATCCTTCGGGTTCTTTTTCTTTTTGTCTGAGAAATATTGCCAGTTAAGCATATTAGTTTAGGCAACAGATAACTTTTTATAGAGGCCTAATGAAGGAGGTCCCATTTTATAGGAGCTCTTACTATAGAGATCTAATCTCTTCTATTATAAATAGCCTTTGGAAGTCCCACAATGAATGGGGCTTTCTGAAGTTGTGAATGAAGACCACAGAGGACTTGAGAACCAAGGGATAAAGTCATTAATCTTTTATTTGGCCATAAACCTGGTATCTGGTAATAAGACTGAGTAGGTAGGAAACCCTGTAACCTTTTGAGATTCCCCAGGCACTTAACTTTCTGAGTAGCACCGTCATTGGGGACAGACAAATGGAATGTTAAGGTATAAACAAATACAGCCATAAAAATACTCAAACAGGATCTACACTGCTCCCTCCCCCACTCCCCCAACCTGTGCAACCAGTGGCTACTGTCTATGCTCTTTCATGTCCACGGCTTCTCCTTGGTTACAAGAGGCCAGAAGGCACTTTCGTATTGTTTTTGGACATTACTAATGGGGTCAGTGGAAGGGGACACCGCAACAGTACGTCATGCAAATGTAATGTGACTTTTCATAGCCCTTCAAGGAGAGAATAGGTGGCCATTATAACAGGAAAGTTGGCGAAGTCCCTCCTCTCACAATTTTGTTCTAGGACCAGATAGAAAGCCTTTGAGCCTCAGAAACTCAACTGCCTTCCTGGATCTTCTGTGAGATTTGAGTGAGGGTAGTCTGAGTAGGGACTTAGCTCTGAGAGGAAGTCTTCCAGGGAACCCTCCCACATCTTCCTGATGAGCTGTTGGGACCCAGACCTTGCTGGTTAACACACTGAAGGATCACAGCACAAAGGGTAAAAGTGGAAGAAGTACAGATGTTTATTATGAATCAACTTAAACCCTTTTTATGCCTCTGACAAAGTAACAAAAACAAAAAAAATCATACTAATTACAGGACCTCCAGGGTTTCATATTTCAAAAACACAGATAAATAGCTTACTACAGATAAATAGCTTGACCCTTTAGGCATTCTCAATAGCATTGGGAAAATTTCCAGGGCGTCTGTAGAAAAGGATGTATAACCAGTACATCCCAGTCCCCTACCCCCATGGAAAGCAATGCCTAGGGACTGGGCCCCTAGATGGACAATATGAACCCATTCAGATTTCCTTTCAGGAACCAGTTCCTCTTAGCTCTGGGGGGATGTCCTTAGCATGCGGCTGTCACCTGGCAGGTGGGGTGGAGGGAAGGTTGAGGATCAGAAAGATGCATTTATGGCTTTTGTTAGACGCCATCCATAGCATACCCCAGGGAGTGGGAGGCTTAAGTCAAAATCTTGCCGATGGTTAATTGGGCCCTCACTTCAGAAAGCAATGCTCTTTTTATAAATTGACTGACTTCAAAAAACAAAGCACAATAAACAAAAAGGAGTAGAAAATGTTATGCTAAAAAAAAAAAAAAAAAAAAAATAACCCCAATGAAATAATCAGTAGCACATTGCATCTGTGAGTGTCCCAGCTCCCTGTATTGGTTATGTGTGATTTCTATCCAAGGTCGTGGAATAGGTGTTACACCCCAATCTTCATGTCCACGTTCTGTAGGTTCCGTGTCTCATCGGCTGTCATACACTGGTCTGGGGTCTCCGACGACTCCTTGTTCACCAAATGCACCATCTCCTGAGACTTGCTGGCCTCCCCGTTGAGTCCGCTTGGCTTTCTGTCCTCCACAGCTCCATTCCCATTGATCACCAGCTTTTTCTTCTGCCCACACCTGATAATGTAAAGATCATATGAGAAAAGGGTGCAATGACCCAATCATCAGCATCACGGACAACATCATTATCACTACGGTTTATAATGGTCCTTAGTATGTTTCCTCCTACTGCCTTTTAACAGTCAGCACTTCAAGTGAGGTCCCCTGAACCAACAGTAAACTGTGAGCTTTTTGGAAATGCAAATTCTCAGCCCCAGACCTAGGAGTGGGACCCAGGATCTGCGGTTAAAGCCCTCACAGGATTTCTGAAGCAGTGGTCACAGCTCAGGAAGCCAATGCTGTCATTATCCCCTATCACAGGTGAAGAAACCCTGGGGTCAGAAAATTCAGTAACTCGCCCCAGGTTACTCAACCCTTAGAGTATCTGACTCCCAAGTTCTAGTTCTCCTTTCACCATGCTACGCAATGGAAATGTTTGTCTCTATTAGTGCTTTAGCAATTTCCGCAGACTCAGATAAACCATCAACATGATGATCGCCAATCATTCTGATTTGTGTATTCAAGAAAGTCCCATTAGGTGGCTGGGACGAGATTAACCAAAGAACGTATATGCATAGCCCATGGACACAGATAGTGTGGTGAAGGCTTGGGGTTGGGTGGGGGTTAGGTGGAAGAGGCAGGGGAGGGGGGGAACAGGGGATATCTATAATACTGTCAACAATTCAAAAAAAAAAGTCCCATTACTTCCTCTCACAGTCAACACTATGTTGGCCTTGTCGGGGTTATTACTGCGTGTACTGAGAGGAATGAAACAACATTTTTCTAGAACTATAGGCCGTATTGCTTTTTCCCGAACATTGGTTACCTTCCATATAACCCTGGTTATAGGCGGTTGAGCTACACAAGGCAAAAAGTTCAGCTACTTTAAGGTTTCTCACTACTAACATTTCTTAAGATTCAAATGCCAAAGGTTTTCTATGGAAGAGCATGACCTTGATCTTGTCCCTGTGTCATAGCATTGTCATAGCACTGCCTCACCCCATGCAGCCTGACACAATGCTTCCTCTTTCCTGTAACATGATCGCTGCTGCACATCTAAAAGTCAGACTGTGCTTCATGGAAGCACAATTGCAGATCCTCACAACTACAGGTGGGGTGGGGGGAGGGGCAATGGGCTAGCATTTATTGGACACCTCCTGAGTGCCAGGCACTTCACATGTAACTTTATGTAATCCTCACAATAACCCCACAATGCTGCTCTTATTCCCATTATATGTCAGTGGAAACTGAGGCCCAGGGAGTTTAATAACCAACTTGAGATCACACAGCTCGTAAGACAGAGTCAATATTCAACCCCAGGCCTTTATGACCCAAAGCCTGGACTCGGCCCAGCTCTCTTCATGCTGCCAACCATCTGGAGACGGGGAACAGTATGAAGTCGGAATTGTTCACTTCGCCGCTGGATATTTGGAGTTGCCAGACAAAGCCTCTATTATTCATGATTGTGGGCCATTCCTGCTCGGACTGCCAAGGCCATAAACTTTAATCTCTTGTTTGGGGAAATAGAAATTATACCTCCTCTATAGGAGTTAGATCCTGTCTCCTTTGGCCGGATGTTTGATGAGGGCAGCGGAAGGATGCTTGACCAATGCTGCAGACCCGTGGGACTGGGAGTATGGGTGCTGCCCACATACACAAGAACGGGTCTCGGGAGGCGTGGTGTTGAGATTTGACTGCCGTGTGACCTGGGGCAACGCATTTACCCTTTCTGAACCTCAGCTTACTTCTCTGTAACATCAGACTAGTAATACTGCAGGAAAGGGATTTATAAGCATAAAAAGCTTGGGCTTGGGGGTGAAGTGAGGACTGATGTTCTTCACGCAGACAAAGCTGGTGTTGAAAGTGGAGGACATCTGACCTGTAGGGCTTGGGCTTTGTCCTGCCCACGTTTCCCTGTGGATTTACGCGTCTGTTACCTGCCTGAGTTCTTTCAGGAGGGCAGGAGGATTCTCATAAATAACCCAGCCCAGCAGGCTGTGCTCCAGGCATCTAAATAAGCACTTTAAAAATTTAAGTCCTAATTTTTTCATTCTTCTTGGAGAAATTTTAACAGGAACAGCAGCAACTGAAGGGACCTGGGAGGTCATCCAGCCCAGCCTTTTCATTGTGTAAACTGGAGACTGATCCCAGAAGTCAAGGCTGTCATCTGAGATGGCATCGCCAGCTATGGCCGAACGATGGTGTCTACGACTTAGATTTTCTGAGTCCAAAGGTCAGAGATCTCCACCAAACTCCACCTTGCCTTGAAATCCTTTCATTAGCTGTGCACGCAGTGACCACATGATGTGGAAAGACTCAGGCTAGAGCCTTGCCAGGATAGGGTGGGCAGGCTGGGTGATGGGGTGGGCGTGGGGTTGGGGGGGGGGGGATTTACCTTTAGGCCACAGAGGAATTTCTTTAGGGGGTAATTTAACAAACGACCTTATGTCTCTTCTATCTGACAATCCTTAAAGCTATTTTAGAGCTGTATTGTGCTTTGTGTTAGAGCTGGGCCACTAGCCACATATTTTAAACTCATTAAAATAAATAAAAATTTAAAATTCGCTTTAAGTGGCACTAGCCACATTTGGAGTGCTCAGTCGCCCCCAGGATTCGTGGTTGTGGATCGGGCAGGACAGATGTAGAATCTTTCCATCATCGCAGAAAGCTCTGCAGGGCGGCTGTGTTCTCCAGGGTGGAACAAGGTCGGGCGAGCAGGGATTAGGGAGCCAGGCTGCAGTTTAAGGGCAGGCAGGACCGGCCACACAGAGGGTGGTGGCGGCCCACTGGGGTCTACAGGAAAGAGGATTATCTCCTTGAGAGTGAAATCTGGCGAAGGCCTTTTCTGCAGTCGGTGTAGAAACATTCCTGAATCATTCCTGTTTGGTGAAACCTTTTCTGGTCATCATTTTTCTCCTCTTCGTACAAATCGGATAAATTCTGTAAGGGAAAGGCACCTAACTTCTTCCCTTCAGCCTCAATGACTGTATAACAACCCAACTGACTCCTAAAACGATAGTTTTCTCTTAAGGACAGTGAATAAAGTACAATTTTCATTGGAAAGTTGCAATTCAGGGACTCTGGTTACATGAAGAACAGCAAGAAAAGGTGATGTGGGTTATGATGGGGATGGAAAGAGCTAAGGGAATAACGGGACCCCCGCATGAGCACCTTTAAGATGATATGACTCACAGATGCCGTTGTCATGGACACCTGTGGCCAACCCTTGCACGTCAACTTCAGTGACTAATGCTTTTCCATTTTTATATTTTAACCATAATTCATATGACAGTGCCTGGCACAGAGTATGTGCTCTATACATGTCAGCGGAGTCCCAGCCAACAGGCCAATGTTGCCACTGAACCTCAAGATTCTTTTAGGGAAAGGATGATACTTTTGGTTTTTAATCTTCTCTTTCTCCTCGCCAGGGTTGACGGTCATAGCCGCCCCTCAAAAGATGTCTGCCGAATAAAGAAATGGCTGTTGTAGGTCCCTGCTTTCAACCAAATTTTCTTTGATGAAAACAGGATTCTGTGTCTCTCTAAAATGTAATGTTCCAAGCAGAAAGGCCCAGCCTTTAAGAGGATTAGAAGAAGGCTGGTGATTTCAGAAACACAGCACACATGCAGGGGCCTGCGAAGCCATACCCGTCCTTTAGCTGCTTGGCAAATCTGTTTTTGATTATCAGATCAGGACATGGTAATTTACGGCGCCCAGGCAGCTACTTTCCTGGTGAGATACGTGCTGTGCTGGATCCCAAGTGTCCCTGTTTGCCCGTTGCTAGGGTGACTGCTGGCCTTGGGAGGAGGGGGAGGGTGCAATGGGGCCCTTTTTGCTGCTCACATGATGGGGGAGCGAAGTGTGAGCTAACCAGCTGCACTGCGGGAGCTCCGGCTGCTCTCAGGGACAGCTGAGATGCTTCTTTGAGGTCTCCCCCATCGACAGCACCAGGGGCCACGTTTCCATGGTGACGTGCAGAGCTCATGGACTGTACCTGTGAGCAGTGGCAGTGCATTCTAAGGCTTGGGGCAATAGGAAATTCACATTTAACTGAGCAAAAGTAACGCTAGAGAAAACAAGGACGCTGAGGGAAAGTATAAAGACTCTTTGTAAGGGGTCCCTCAAGTCACATTATTTAAATTCAACTAAAAATAAAAAAGTCTCTTTCCATTTAGTCATAGGAGACTTCCAGGAGGGCTTTCAGATTTCCTTTCCTAGTTTTTGTTCCCCATACAATCAACTGCCACGACTATTTTTATCGCGCCCTCAAAGGTACAGAAAGCAACACAGCTCTTCGACTTTAATAGAGCAATTTTATTAACTGGTACCAGCGTCAGACGGCATTATTTAATTTCCTTGGATAATTAGAGATACTGCCTGGGCCCCCTGCAGCAGTGGAATTGGGTATTTGCTGTTTTCCAAAAGCCAAAGAGAAGGATTCAATCATTTTATCCAGGTCTTCTCCCAACCCCGGGGCCTTTTTCTGGCCTGTTAGATGATTCAGTGATACAATAAAGGGGACCCTCGCTTGGAAATAAGATTCTTTTATCTTAAAGGACTCTCAAGAGACATTTCCAGAAGGTTTAATGTTCCCGAGCATATGCTCGGAGCAAAAACGCATCTTGAAAGTGTCTTAAACAGGAAATTGAGACTCATATTTGTGGAGTATCCTTGTCTAAGTTCATTTCTTCTGTTGCTAGAATGACTATTTTCCTTCATTTCACTTGAAGTGGCTTTATTTCTGGAGCCTGGTCACACCTCAACCAGGAATATATGTTGTTTAAATAGCTGCTGAAACAATCGGCCTTGGTTGAGGGTTGGAGGGAGGGGAACCTTTGATGAAAACAGCCCCCATGTCAGTTCTAGGGACTTGTCTGTCTTTATTCAGACTTTCCTACAGGAAGTTCTTCATTATTTCATAGACCACACTGCCAGGGAGCTCTCTGAGGCCAAGATCTGAATCCTTTCAACTGCTGTGTCCACAAAATAGAAAACAGTGTCCTTACAAAATAAACACACAGACTCAATGCCTGTTTTAAGTAAGGGTTCTAGAAAGCTCCATGGGCCTCAGATAGAGATGACCAATCCCTGAATCTTTATATGGTGTTTTTGTGCATTGTGAATGCACTTAATAAATATTTGGTTTAATAAATCAATAAATCAATATATAGTTTTATGCCTTTTTGGTGAGGTATTTCATAATTTTCATCAGATAGAGTCTCCATGGGATTTAATCTCAAAATAATTAAGATCGCCCGGCCAGCTGGCTCAGTAGTTGAGCATCGACCTATGAGCCAGGAAGTCACGGTTCAATTTCCGGTCGGGGCACATTTCCGGGTTTCCAGCTCAATCCCCAGTGTAGGACATGCAGGAGACAACTGATCAGTGATTCTCTGTCATCATGATGTTTCTATCTCTCTCTCCCTCTCCCTTCCTCTGTGAAATCAATTAGAAATATTAAAAAAATAACAATTAAGATCCCCAAGAGATTCAACCACTATTTAGAAGGGGAGGTTCAGGTAATTACGTGCCAGAGCATGAATGTACCGTGTGCATGAATGCCTGAGGCCTTGTCCAAACAGACTCTGACACAGGAGGTGGCAGGGGTGAGGGGGGCTGAGGTTCTGCATTTCTAACAAGCCCCAGGGGGCTGAGCTGCTGGTTCCAAGGGCTACGTTCTGAGCAGAAAGGACATAGAGCCCAAGTTTCAATGATGCCCTTCCAAGTCGAAGGTTCCGTGGAGCATCCCCTTACCTTCTTCGGCTGTTGACCGCGATGCAAACTGCGAGAATCAAAGCCAGGGCCAGGAGGGACGCCAAGATGATCAGCCACTCTGGTGGGAGTGAAGAAAAAGACACCTGTGACCTTGGGAAATAGATTTTGTGAAAATAAACATGTACTTTATAAACGGACCTGGCCCAAACAAGAACCACCATCAGCACTACAGATAAATTCGACCAAATGGCCCAGCCAGTAGGCAGATAATAGGAGAAGAGAGATTTTGCTACAGCTGTTTGTCCAACCGGCCTCTTGTGTTAATCTCTCACCATCAGTCAGGATTCCCAAGTCCCTCCAGGAGAAATATGTTTCCAAAAAAATGTAGAAGGACCTGTTGAAACTTGTAGATGCCCTGGGTGTAGTTATTAACCAGACGAAGTAAATGTATTCTTCCCTTAAAAGGAACTTTCCTTTCCTATGTAAGAGCACCCACCTTACATTGATTAGAAGCAAAAATGGAGGCCATATACTAGTGAGTGGGAGAAAGGACAGACCTATAGACGGTTGAACTTGTGCACATTCACGGGCAGGGTAGGGGGGTCATTTGGCAAAACTTGTCAAAAGCCTTCAAACTGCACATGCTTTCAATCCAGCAGTTACACTTTCAGGAATTTAGAGGACTTAGAATTAGCTAGGAAGATGTTCATTACTGTGCTATTTATAATGGCAAAATTTGAAAACAACCCAATATCCAACAATAGGAGTTGGTTGAATAAATTAGGATTCATTCATTATAAAATATACTACAATGTGGGGAAAAATATGTAATGACATTGGAAAGCTGTGGCCCCCCCAGCTGAGAATGGTAGTTTGCTAAACAAATCATGTATGGTATAATTACATGTTTATATATAAATTACATTGAAAATGACAGGAAGGTCATCTATGAAAATGGTAACCATGGTACTTCTGGATGATGGGGTCGATAACTGATTGGTATTTTTGTCCTTTTGTTTAGTTGCATTTTCTAAAATGTCTGCAATAATTAATGCATCACTCATGGACTCATAACATGTTATACACATGTTTTTAAATCAAGCTTTAAAGTATTAAAATATGACTGGACAACTTGAATAAAGTCAGCTGCCAAATGGGCCGTGTATCTGCGCAATGAACTACAGCTTGGGAAACAAAGATGGACAGTCAGTCACTGCCCCTTCGCCTATGGGAGTCTTGGTTCTCCTCTGATTTCCTGTTCAGGGAGCGCTGCCTTTGTCTGACCTCTCCCTGGTTAGGTGAGCTTGGGTAGCAGGGTCGAATCAGGAGGTGGGGAGACCCTCAGGAGAGAAGCACTTCTCTTCTTTCCTGGGTCTCTAGCCCTGAGATGCCCCCCATTCCCTCTCACTGGGGCTGGGGAAAGTCCTGCTGCCTGATTATTGCAAATTTCATCCCACCCACCGCGTCCTCCCTGGCAGCCCACGCCTTCTCCACGTGCTCTGCCTCTAGCTGTGCCCCGGCAAGCTGAGGCAAGGGGGCCGGGCCCACAGCACATTCTTCCCTTTCCCACGGGAGGCTCAGTTTGGAGACCTCTGAAGGGGGGGGGGGGGGATAGTATGCAACCCTGGGAAAACCCTTCCTTTTTTGTAATCCTAACCCCCCTTTACAAATGCTTGACTTTGAGCCCGAGTCAAGTAAAGCATTTGCTTCGAGTGACTTAAGTCTTGACACTCAGGAGAGCCAGCTGTCTCGGTCCCCTCACTGCACACGTTAGCACATTCTGACACTTTGTCTGGATCAGTGAAGACCGTCCCTCAAGAAAAAGCACTTTGGGGACCAGAAGAATGTTTTCACTCCACCCAATACCCTGTCTGCAATGTGAGAGGAATGTTACCCATGCCATCCCCAACCCCAGAAAGGGGAAACTGAACCACGATAAGCAGGGCCTGGGTGTGACATGGAGTCCCCTGGGCGGTCATGCATGTGAGGAGGAAGCTTTCGGACCTAACGTGCCCCTGCTTTGGGACCTGGGATAAGAGAACGTCCCATCTTTTCCGATCTGTTACTGTCATCCACCTTTAGCTTGCAAAGAGGAACTATTAGTTTCAAGGGCTGGACATTTGGGAAAATGTGCTTTCAAACCGGTTGCTTCTTTCTTTCTGGGACATTCAGCGAGACCTGCTTTTAGCATCATTTTTCTTTGCCCTTCACAGCTCAAAACTCACCTGGAATTTGAGGTTTCCTTATAGGACCCGAGGTCGTGTTGGCATCACCTTCTTGACTCCCACTGGAGTGTCCTAAGGGGAAAGACAACATCTGTCAATCAAAGTTTGGAGGGCGGAAGGAGGCTTACAGAGCAGCACACGGGGCCAGCCTCTGCGTCCTGCAAAGCTCTCTATACACTGAGGCCGCAGGCGTTTATAAAGGGCTACAAGACTCTCCCCAGAAACGTTCCGTTTGATGCAGGCCAATATATTATTGAAACATGCTTTGTATTTGAAGAATGAACAGTTTCTTATGCTAGAACACAAAAGAAGAAAACAAATAAAAATCTCAGACTGAAGGGAAGCATCACAAGACAAAGAATCCACAAGTTGGAGCAGGAAGCTTAACAGAATGAGAGAGGCGTCATATTCTAAAAGAAACTCTAAGACATTTTGTGAGGAGACTCGCCCAAATGAATACGCTCTGCTTTTTCTTTGTGTGTGGGGTTTTTGTTTTGTTGTTTTCCTTTTTAAAAAATATATTTTTTAATTGATTTCAGAGAGGGAGGAAGGAAGAGGGAAAGAGAGAAACATCAACGCTAAGAGAGAATCATTGATCAGCTGCCTCCTGCATGCCCCCTACTGGGGATGGAGCCTGCAACCCAGGCATGTGCCCTGACCAGGAATCAAACCATGACCTCCTGGTTCATAGGTCGACTCTCAACCACTGAGCCAAGCTGGCCAGGCTCTTTGTATTTTATATGCTTCCTTTACTGCTCCCACTGAAATGAAAATATCCCACTAGCATGAACTCCTACCGAGTGGGATTCCACTGCTGAATCCTGAAGGCCTCCAAGGGATAAAAAACAAAACAGGGAAGTCCGTGTGGGCAGCCAATGAATGAAGATGGCTGGGCTTATAGTGACAAGCTCCCCTAAAAGAGTCAAACTTCAGACTGTGCACAGTCTGATTATGGTGGTTATTTTAAATAGGTCGGCTCTTGCTTACGCAATCTCACGTTTTTGTTAAACTCGAGTTTTACCATATGTCTGGCCGTTTCAACATACCGCATGCCATGCTGACAGTGGCCTCTCAGTGGACAAACCTCAGAAAGAGCCATGACACTTTCTCCAGTTGCCTCCCAGAGTCTGCGGTCACTGGCCAGTGTCCACCTGTACAGGTCAGGGGGTACTGGCCATCTAAACTGGAGGTCATTGGCCTTGAAAACCACCTCAGAGGTGCAGTCACCCTCACTGGTCTTTCCCTGACTCACAGCAGCCTCTGCTATTTGAAAGGGAGGCCATGAGGGGGCTCATAATCCCTTTATGTCTATTTTCCCAAAAAGTGCTCCCAGCAAGGAAAGATCTGGGTGTGTGTATACCCAGGCCAGATGGAACTGCCTGTTTGAACAATAGACACCTGCACAGAAATCAAACAAAAGAGGCCGCTCCCGCCCACTTCAAGCAAAAGCCAAGAAGATGGACTAGATAGAGCAGGTCTCGCCTTGCACCCCAGAGGTCTGCAAATGCAGCTAGGGAAGGGCTGGCACGGAAGGCAAGCTCTGCAAAGAGGAACACTGATACTGCAGTTGGAGATGAGATCCAATCCGAGATGTGTGCACAGAGATAATTCGACCGGCCTTAACCGTGAGAAAAACAGTCTGAGGCAGTGCTTCTCAAGCCTAATATAGGTGGAGCGGGAGGATCTTGAGTCAGTAGGTCCGGGATGGCTGGGGATTCTGCGTTTCCGACCAGCTCCTAGGTGGTGTCTCGGCTGCCGGTGTATAGACCGCACTTGGAGTTGTTGGAGTCTCTTGATTTTAGAGAGCATGCCTTTTAGTATCAGCTCCCTGTTGTTTCTAAGTTACTTTCAAGTTCCTGATGCCTCGTGTTCTTCACAAGAACTCCAGGAGGTAACTGAGGCCAGTGTTCTGATCTCTTTTTTTCTAATAAGGAGACTGAGGTTGGGAAAGGTTGACTGCCCCACCCCAGCACTCCAGAGAGCCTTGGACTTCGGTCCTTACTTTAGAAGCATTTCTGATGAGCCCACTACATCCCTGTCCCTGTAGGTAGAAGGTTATTACTAAAACCACCATGGAAATGTCCATCTTCATTGCACTTTAAGCGTGAAGCCTGTAAGCCCGGAGGCAACTCTACTTCCAATGTAAGTATGAAGGCAGGACAGTAGCTTCTAAGGATGACCTCACTGGCATGGGGTGCCTGGACCAACGATGCTCAGGGTCACCTCGGTAAGACAGCACCAGCACAGCCTTTCGGCGGCCCCAGCGCTACTGGTCACCAGGACACCTGCTTCGTGGCAGACTTTTGCTGCCTGGAGTCACGTTTCCAGGAGTGTGCTCCGAGCCACCGCGAACAGGAACCCATTGACTGATGCATGCCGGGTGGCAATTATGGTCACCACAGGTTGCTTTCTCTAGACCAGTGATGGCGAACCTTTTGAGCTCGGTGTGTCAGCATTTTGAAAAACCCCAACTTAACTCTGGTGCCGTGTCACATAGAGAAATTTTTTGGTATTTGCAACCATAGTAAAACAAAGATGTATTTTTTTGATATTTATTGTATATATTTAAATGCCATTTAACAAAGCAAAATCAACCAAAAAAATGAGTTCACGTGCCACCTCTGGCATGCATGTCATAGGTTCGCCATCACTGCTCTAGACTGTGCTTGTGAGACGCAATAGGAGACGCCTGGCTTTGAAACGTGACTCCACCACTCAACTCACTAGTCATGGCAACTCAGCTAAGTTACTTAGCGGCTCTGAGCCTCGGTGCTCTCTGTAATAGTGGGATACTAGTACTTATGTGGGCCACAGCGTATGTAGGATGAGCAAGTGAGTTAATAATAGATGAAACATATCAAATATGTTTAATTTCATATATGACGATTGACCTACAGAAATGGCAGTTTGATAGGGTCCATCCTACTACACAATAAATTCTGATGAAATGCTAGCTGTTATGCCATGTGCTGGGGGCCAGGTCAAATGCTTCAGTGTATGCTATCATTTAGTCCAGCGGTTCTCAACCTGTGAGTCACGACCCCTTTGGCGGTCAAAAGACCCTTTCACAGGGGTCGCCTAAGACCATCCTGCATAGCAGATATTTACATTACGATTCATAACAATAGCAACATTACAGTTATGAAGCAGCAACGAAAATAATTTTATGGTTGCGTCACAACATGAGGAACTGTATTTAAAGGGCCCGAAGGTTGAGAACCACTGGTTTAGTCTTTTAAACCAGACTTGATGACAATTATTATTATTATTTTATTGGTTAGGAAATTGAGTCTCAGATCCTTTCAGCAACATCCCCAGTTTGTATGTGGAGGAGCTGGGAGCAAACCTTTCTTATTCCAAAACCCAGGTTTTTAACCACTCTGATGTCGTGAAACGTTACCTTGAGACCCTGCTTGGGTTCTTCCCTGATCCTGTCAGATGGAAGAATTTCCTCCAAAGCAGTCGTTCTCAAAGCACAGTCCCTGCTCCAGCCTTACCAGCGTCACCAGGGGACTTAGTAAAAGTGCACATGCGCAGGCTCCGCCCCAGACATGCAGGATCAGAAACAGTAAGGATGGGGCCTAGCAGCGTGGTTTAATAAGCCCTTCCCGCAATGGTGACGCATGCTAAGAGAGTTTGAGAACCACTCTTTGAGAGACAATGACTCAAACATCATTCATTAATAATCAGCAGGTTCAATGATGACGAGAGTAAATGACTAACGCAGCTCAAACTCACCAGTTGGTCCAGATCTTTGGGTGGTATGGTCGCTGCGGTCGGAAGATGAGTCTCCATCTTCTGTAAGGAACAATCAGAGAAGGTTCAGTACGGTGTGTTCTGGTTACACTGCCATCTGCGTTTCCGCATGTGTCTGCCTTTTCATGCCCTTGGCTTTTATCACAAAGCTTAGTCTTTTAAAGGTAAGCAAAGGAGCCGTGAATGGCTCCACAATATTAATTTCTATTCATTTCTTAATCCACTGATCAGTAGGCTAGAGATTTCATCAAAATTAGGTAATCTGGTCCAGCACAGACCATCAGATGAGCAGAGGAAGTGTGGCTTTGGTAGAAACCCAATAACTGTAACACGTGAACAAAATTATCATGTGTTCACAGGTCTGAGGTTGGGATTTGATACTATTTCTTTGAAATAGGGACTCTGTGTTTTGAATGATGACAAATGTGATCACTGGGAATGCATGTACTCTGTGGCTTAGGTCATGAGACGTTTAAAGAGTGTTCTCCGAGGCAGGAAATAGAAAAGGCTTTTAGTATGCATACAAGATCTTGGGGTTAAATTCAAAGAAAGAAGTCAACTGCTTATTTAAAGAAAATGTCTGAAAATAAGTGAAAAGGAAAGGGGGAGATGATAGCTAATGTGTGACTAATGTATTCATGGTTATTAGAATATGTTTCAAATTGTAATATTTTTCAAAAATGAAATCTGCATTTTCAACACCAAGAGTTAATATAATTCATCTTCTCAAATATCCATCACCGAAAGGCTTTCGAATTGCTAAACTCTGGATCCCCAGGTCAGATCTTGGATTTAGCATATGGAAACTCTTACTCTTCTTCCTCCTCCTCCTCCCCACACATTTTCCAAAACTATACTGGAATCTTAAAACAAAACAAAAAAAGACAATGGTTTCATAAAATGCCTATAGTTACCCATTATGAAGGTACCTATAAGGAAAATGCCATAGTCTGAGATCCCCACCATTTCCCATAAGGTGGAGGTAGGTGACCTGTAATCGCCTGTGTACTTGTATAGAGGAGACACATTGCTTTGTTCCTTGGCTCATGGTTAGAATAATGAAAAACAGAATTTGCTGAAATGCCAGGACCAACACCCTCAATATCACCACCACCACCACCACCACCACCACCACCACCATCACCATCACTACCACCATCACCACCACCACCACCACCACCATCACCATAACCATCACCACCAACATCACCACCACCACCACCACAACCACCACCACCACCCCCGACAATAACACCATCACCATCACCACAATTTCAAATGTTTTAATTCTTAAGGTTAAGCATAAAGACTGAGAAAAATTGAAAGAAATGAGCACTTTTTGAATTTTGAAAGAAAACAAAAAATGAGAGTTGGATCCCTTATTAATCATTTAATCCATGGAGAACCATGGAAATCTGTTGGCACCACCATGGAATATAGAAGAAATGAGAGTACATGGATATCAATTTTGTAGAAAGCATTTTATTTACTAACAATAATCTATGTAATCTTTCTAGGCTACTGTAACTATTTAAATTGCCACTTAAAATTTAAATTCATTATGTTGCATGACGGGCCTCATTTTGCTAAGAAAAATTAGACAATGCTCTAAGGTTCACTTCTACAGAAAAATACTGAAAATGATACTTGGAAATTTTAATGATTGAGGGTAGAACCATGTTGAACAAAGAACCAAAGGGTGTGAGGGGTTCTGTCTTACCAATATTGCCAAGGTTTTTTCTAAGACTATTTTCCTTGAAGCTTGTGTTCAAGTAACCCTTGTGTTTAAGTATTCATTATTTTATTTACTAACTAGAGGCCCGTTGCACAAAATTTGTGCAAGAGTAGGCCTTCCTTCCACTGGCTGCTGGCACCAGCTTCCCTCTGGCACCCAGGACCCGGGCTTCCCTTGTAGTCCCAGCTTCATCCAGAAGGTCATCCAATCTAATTAGCATATTACACTTTTATTATTATAGATGCCACATTCACATAACTTTCATTATTACATATTGTTGTAACTCCATTTCATTATTAATTATTGTTCATTTCATACTGTGCCTAATTTTTATAAATTAAACTTTATCAGTAGTCCCTCCTTATCTCTGGGATGGGCAGCCACGGAAAAAAGCCACACAAGTGACATTCTGGTTTTCTGTCACCACAGCAGTCATCTGTTTTATATATTGAGTTCTCATAAGATTTATTCTTCTTTGGGGAGGAGAGGGAAAGAACTTATGCTACAAAAACAAACAAACAAACAAACAAAAAAATTACAGCCGAAACCGGTTTGGCTCAGTGGATAGAGCGTCGGCCTGCGGACTGAAAGGTCCCTGGTTCGATTCCGGTCAAGGGCATGTACCTGGGTTGCGGGCACTTCCCCAGTGGGGATGTGCAGGAGGCAGCTGATCGATGTTTCTCTCTCATCGATGTTTCTAACTTTCTATCTCTCTCCCTTCCTCTCTGTAAAAAATCAATAAAATATATTTAAAAAAAAAAAAATTACAGTCGTTCCTCCTTATCTACTGGGAATACGTTCTAAGACCCCCCAGTGGATGCCTAAAAAGTGTGGATAGTACTGAACCCTATGTATGCCATTTTTTTTCCTATACATACAGACCTATGATAAAGTTTAATTTATAAATTAGGCACACTAAGAATTTTTACAACAATAATAATGAAATAGAACAATTACAACAATATACTATAATAAAAGTTATGTGAATTGGCGTTAGGGAGTAGAATAAGGGTGACTTGAACACAAGCACTGCAATCAATGACATGACAGTCTACCTGACAGAGCAGGACGGCATGAGATTTCATCAAACTACTATGAATAGCACACAATGTAAAGTGTATGAATTATTTCTGGAATTGTCCACTTTATATTTTCAGACCACAGTTGACCATGGGTAACTGAAGCCACGGAGAGCAAAACCCTGGATCAAAGGGGGACTACTGAATGTTTAAACTCACTAATCTTTAATAGGCCTTCGTGGTAAGAAGTACTTGAATAACCAGAAGGAGAGGATTTTAGTTTCTTAGCCAGAGTAGGTATTTTCCAGTTCCTTTTTCTACAATGTCAGTTTTTTAATGCAAATGGAGAAACAAACAAAAAAGCAGAAGTAAGGAGGACTGTTTGAGAAAACAAATCTCATTCTGGGTCCATGTCCAACCTAATTGAATGTCATCTTCAGCCCTCTATTTGCCACTACAACAAGAGAGATATGCCTATTCATCAATAGTTGGTTCTATCATAAAATTTTAAGTGTGCATCATAATTAGAGATTTATGCACAAGCCCTTCACTAAAAGTAAAATTCACCAATCCATCACCAATAGGAGGTAATACTTTCAGAGCCAAGGTATCAATATATGGAAATTATTCACATTTTGGGTAAAACCTTACTAAATACGCAGCATGTTATTAGTTGAATCAAATAAAATAGCTAATATTTAACTTCTTTGACCTACAAAACTATCAATTTCACATGGATCAACTTAATATATCAAAGACCAGAAACAAGGCAAAGAAAGAAATTCTGCCATAACAACCAAGTCACAAGAATAAATAGGAATGGCATCAGCAAATGAAAGCATTCTTAATCTCAACTAAGTCTAAGTTTATTTGCACTAGAATGATGACATGATTAAAAACCCTTCCCAAGTCACAAATAAGCCTAATCACAGCTTACACAGAAAACGTCCCCTATAACATGAAAGTACGTGATGTTTTTCTACATTACCTGGCAAGGGACCATCAATATTAACGTTGGAATCTCCATCAACAGTAACTTCAGTAACTCCAGGGGACTCAGTATTAGCAGGGGTCACTGGGATGAGGGTTGTGTACTCCTTTGTGTCTGGGGAATGAGAAGTATAACCTCCCACTGAAGTAGCTGAGTCTTCAGGAAGATTTCCACCTCCGCCATCATGCCTATCTGTGTAGAGGTGGAGTCTATGGTGAACCGACATCTGTAAGGCCACCACCCATCGTGTGCTTGTCCTTAAAACATGCAATTACTGCAAAAGCTTCCCACTTGTTATTTGTGAACACAGAGCAAAAGATAGTGTGATCTACACTATTGCACAGAATCTATATTTTGCAATTGAGAACAACTGGACATCACTCAACAGAAGAGATTTTGGTGATCCTAATACCTAGAAAAGACATTCATTGTAGCATCTACCTGGGTTGTTAAAGTGAGGATTAAGCCACTACAATTGTTGTTACCGTGAAGGCAACTCAGGTTCTAGATAATCTTGAGCTCTTACTCAATGGGACCCACCTATAGTGAAGTGGAGGAAGAATGTCTTTGAATTAAAAGGTAAATATGCTGTCTGTGATTGGAATAGCCAATGCAAGGATTCCCAGGCCTGAGGCTTTATTTTTTCCTTTTCCAGAAGGCACTGCTTCTTAATCACCAAATCCATGGTCCAGAGTATAAATAGCAAAATATTATAATTAATGCGAGGGAAATAGAAAGTAATATAATTCAGATCTTTATACCAATTATAAATCACAAATAAGCAATCTAAATCTAGAATTTAAGAAACCTGACCTTTAAGATTAAGACATATAGTTGCATTTCATGTACAATGGCTTCTAAAAAGTCTTCAAAGCAGAAAAATCAGAGGCCCATCACCAGCACACCTTCTAATCAGAAGTAACAGCACAACAGCCAATGAATGCACCTCCACCAAAGACACTGCGCAAAGACACCCATAACTGAAGCCATCCTTACTGCTAGATGTTGGAGTGGACGTCATTGGCTGGCCTTTATCTTCTTCCAAGCCTCCATGTGATGTAGAGAAGCTCTGAGTATGACTCTGCTCTGTTTCAATGAGGGATGAATCCAGCATTAATTTGAAGCCATAAAACAAATCCTGTTATTTTGCTGACAGAGAGGATCTAGCTATATATAGTGTTAAACAGGCGAGAGCATAAGAATACCAAGGTTTGTGCATAACATTTTCATCTGATTGATAAGAACATACAACAGAATTCTGTTTTACTAGTTGGCTGTTAAGAGCCTTTGTTTGCTTTTCCATATAATCAACACAGATAATGTGCCAAACATGAAGCCTGAGCCAAAACTATGTCTATCCCAGATCATCCTGACCCAATGGTAACATTGCTTCCAGTCACCAAGGAAACCCAGAGTACACAGACACAGAGGAAGAGTAATGTCTGAATCCCAGTGTTCCCATCAGCAATCAAGAGCACCCAGTTGTGTGTCAAGAAGTGGCATGATCGTAACCACGAAAGAGGAAGAAGTTCATCTAGTATAACTTGCTCCAGTAACTCAGATCAAATGTACAAAAGGAAATACGTTGGTCCCTCCTAAAGAACATTAAATTAAAGTTCCCATGTTACTCCATTATTAGGTTTTTGATCTCATCTGTGGATGAGGATTCTCATCACTATCCTGAAAGGCCAGGAAACGCTTGCCTGGGCAAACACAGGGCCCTCACTGTAGTCCATGCAATTTGAGGTTGAACCACTGCCCATATGTGAAATCGCTTTGATTGTTTTGAGTTAATTTCTTTTGTGTTCTTCTAAGAAAAGTGCTGACCTCGGAGTTACAGGTGCAAGCACCCCAGAAAGCACACCCAGAAGCCATGTCCGCCACCAAGTAAACATTACAGCCAGAAGAGAAACATTCACCAAGTCCCAAACCAAACATCAGAACAAAAGTCAACAGGGACATGAAGTGGAAATACAAGACCCTCGATTGGCGGGACCATTCTTTGGCTTCTCTGCATCCTATTTAATGCTTAACACTGTGCTGGTTACATTATTTTATTTTATTTATCTTTATTGTGGAAAGTATTACAGATGTCTCCCTTTTCCCCCAGTGACCGCACTATTGTCTGCGCCCATGGGTTATGCATATTGTGCTAGTTACATTGTTGACAGTCAACACATGCTTGCTGACTTTTTCCTTTGTCTAAAGGGAACACATAAAGAACTCTGTCCATTATGTGCAGCAAGCAGTGAAATAAGGCCCTCTTAATTCCGGAACTCTTTCATAGTCTGTCAAGAAATTATGAATGACTTTAGGCTGATATCTAGGATAGCCCTGAACATATAATGAAAATTAAAGCTGTTAGAAGTTTAGCATTGCTTCTACCAGATGTTTAGTGATAGGAAGAAGCATTAGAAAATGTTCTCATTTTGTATCCGGGCCCTGCCACCTTTGTCAATTGTCAATAATACGCCTTGCCCCTCTTCTATAGGATGATGTGATTTCCCTATTTTCTATGACTGTATGTCGCAAACTTGTCTTTTCACCACCATTAAAACAATCCTATCTTTCTTCTGCTTTGATTGAAGAAAAGATGGGAATCAAAAGAAGGTGGTCAGTGCCCAGCCAGTGTTGCTCAGTGGTTGAGTGTCAACTTATGAACCAGGAGGTCACCCTTCAATTCCCGGTCACGGCACATGCTGGCATTGCAGGCTTGATCCCCAGTAGGGTGTTTTTAACTCACTCTCCCTTTCCCTTGCTCTGAAATCAATTTAAAAAAATATATATATTTTAAAAGGGGCTGGTCAGTTAAACCATAGAAAAATCACTGTTCTAGTCGTGGTCTGGGATGACACTATCATAACTACTTAGGGAAGGAAAATCAAGTTGAATGGAGTCGCACTTTTTTTTTTTAAACATAAAGTCATTGACTTTGGAAAGTACCAAGAATAAAGGAAAAATCACATTTAAAGACCTCCACCAAGAAAATATAGAAGAAATAGAGACTGAGCCACAAAGCACTAAATACACCATTCCACCACCAAGCTCTGGATCTGGGCCAGTGTGAGCAAGAACTGAAGCAGGAACACAAGTCAATAAAGGGCTGAGTGTCGTTATCCTTACGAGTTGTCACTGGAAGAGGTCCTGTCCTGTCCCAGTCTTCTGCCAAATGTGTGTTTGAATCTGCAGAAGGCTGAAGTGTTGTACTATGGCTGGAGTCCATATCTGAAGGAATTAAATCAGTGTTATAGTTGGATTTCCTAAACCACTACCTTAGGGTGGTTTATGATCTAGAGCCAAATTATTCTTATATTCAAACCTGGATAAAAGGAAAGAAAGCACATACTGATTCATGTCTCCAGAATTGGAGTAGATTATGGCTTCTTCAAAAGATCCCAAGAAGTAACTGACTTGCACTGAAAGGTTGAGTTCTATGAAAGCTACAATTTTTTGCTTATTTTTGCCGAGTCTGAAAGGACTCCAAATGAGCACATGATGGGCCTCTCAAACCTTACAGAAACACACACATAAACCAGTGTGACTTGTCCCACTCCATACACATTGCCTTTCTTATAGACACATGGGATCTGACACATGGAGAAAGGACAGAGTGTGCTGGTTCAGGCACCATTCTGTCACACACACACCCTTACTTGGCAAAATAACTTTTTTATCAACCCTCTTTCCTTCTTTGGTCTCTTCCACTTTATAACGGGAACATGCAATAAAACATAAACTCATCACCCACTACTACCTAAGTAGAAGCCACAGGAAGTGTTCAGGGGCAAGGAATAAGAAGCCATGGATATCAGTGAATCGGTCATCCTGTCAACACAGATATGTGGTGCCTTTGGAAATTAATATGTACAATGTTGAGCGGTACAGAAATTTCACTAAAATATTTACAAATGCTTTTTTAATGATGATCACAAATCAATTCTGTTGAAATAACAAGTCCTGAGTGAAGTAAAGGCCAAATAACCTATAAACACCATCACTATTGTTGGCTTTCCGATTCAAAGTCCACCCACACTGCTGCCTCGAGAGAGATTTAATCAATTCCAGATGACTCCAGAGGGAAAAATAATGGAATATCGGGCACTGCAGCGCTTACATACAAAAGAAAAGAAAAATCAAGATCTTTGGAGGAAAAAAATCCCAGATTTCAAAAAAGAGGAAAGGCTAGCTAACCCAAATCAAAACCCCACATGGCTATTTTCCCAGAAAAAGTTCTGTCTGTTGATGGTCTCTAGACACTCTTGTTTACCTTCCCTGTTATCAGTACAATCTTTCATGAGGTATCACACTGTCCTATAGTTTGAGCAATGTGATTGTCCTTGTCATGTTCATCAATTTAATGGAGTCTCCTTCTGTTCATCAGTATAGAGGCTTAACACTGATTCTGAAGTTATTTCACTGTGGCTTGGTTTTCCACTAGTATTATATCAGAGCCTCCAGCAGCCACATGCATAAACATGTGTGAGGTCTGCATGTGGCACTTCAGCCACTCAACACGATGGCCACAGCCTCGCCATTCCAACTCATCTTCCTTTATGACAAATGGATCAGTTCACTCTAACAAATTCATTTCTTGGCTTTCCTTCCTTTCTGCCTCTTCTTACACGAGTTTTCCTACAAAAACTTGCCCTGACTTTCCTTCTCTGACCTTCCAGGGCTTCCCCCCATTTTCCAAAAACCAGATCCAATCCACCTTTCTCTGCTGCTCCCTGGCAGGCCCTCTGAATCTCTCTGGTGTTATTGTCGGCAACACTCATTTGACATCTACTACTTGCTCTCTCATACTGTTAGATATATTTTGGTGCTAAATGTTTTCTTTTACTACTTAAATTTTAAGTTCCTTAAGAGCATGGACCATGAATTGTACATTGTTGTGGCTCCACAATGCCTTGCACATTAGTCAATATTTAATGCCAATGTTTTTAATCACTAGTAATTTGGCAATATCTGTTCATTAGAATTTGGGAATGACACAGTTAGGGGGTTCTAAAGATACGAAACCATAAAAACTGTTAAATTCATTTTGGAGATAACTTTGTTCAATTCACTACCAAGAGACATGGTCATTGTGCTCTTGGAATGCATTTCAATAAAGTTCATGTTATGCATGCCCTTCGTAGCTTGGATCCAGATTACACAATGCTATGAATAATAATTCACAGCCCCATATTGGTTCTTTGATTTATCTCCTTTTTTGGAATGTTACATTTCTGTGACCAAGGCATTTTGTTAAATAACAAAATAAAACTTGTGTAACTCTTCATGGGTACAATAAGGAACATGGATTCTTTAAGTTAGTGAAGCCTGAGAAAAGGGCATTATCTGATACCAACTCTTGCAGATTCCCTAGGGGAAAATGTCATCTGTTCTGATAAAGGAAGACTTCTTTTTAAATATAAAAGCTGGTCAAATAAAATCACAACCCTCCATTCTTACAGAACTACAACCAGTATCTTTTTTATTCTCTCGCTCTCTCATTTAATTCTGTTTTTTAATTGCTTATAGGTAAAGATGAATGATGTTTAAGAAAACAGAGGTTTCATCCTGTGTCCATTTATGAAATTCACAAACATTTATCGAGGGCCAAGAGTGGTCTAATTCTTAGGTCACAGAGTGTCATATTTATCTCTAAATGTGGTAAGAGTAAACAATAAAATGTTCTGAGCTTTTTCATTATTTCTTCAGAAGGAGCACTCATCAATTTTTTTACCTCTGAGATTTCTCTACCAGAGACAAGTTATATCTTTGAGTCTACAGTGGAAACAGTCCCTGAATCCATCACTTTACTCTTTTAAAAGCCCTGCACTCAGGAGTAAATGAAAAAGGACTCTTGAGACTGCTCCCTCTTCAGAGAAAATGACTTTCACTCCTATCATTTTAAGACCAATTCTCCTTTAACTCTCCTGCCAAATTCTTCACTCTCAGCTCAGCACTTCAAATTCAGATAAATGGGCATATCACTTCTACAAAGGAAGCAAATTTTTGAAGAAACTTCAATTTCCTTCTTAGGAAAGTAGAGTGGTCTAAAACCAAGGGCTTACTTCTAGGAAAATAGCCATTTGTAGGCTTTGCCAAAACATAATATAAAAAGGTTCAGATTACCCATTCTGCTTTCTGTTTGATGACCTCGTCCCATTGGATGTGAGATTGGGTCCAAAAAATAAGTCCAGGAACTGTCCTCTTCACTCGGTGTTGTCGTTCTCTGATTTGGATGGGTGTCGTGGGCTGAGACTGGTGTGACCATGCAGTTCAAGCAATTGTCAAAGTGTTAGTTGACATCTGACCAGGGATACACTGATTTTTTTAAAAAATGTATTTTTTTTTTTAATCTGAATAAGACAACGAAAACATCTCCCTGGTATCGAGGAAGTTGCATAAACACAGAATGTTTTAGCAGGTATAGTTCATTCATGCTCCTTTTCTTAGCAAGCAGCATGTGAACTGAAGGAGACAAAAGCATTAATGACTTCTCCAGTGGACAGGAGATGAGTTACAGACATCAAGTGAAGATGAAAAAGTAGTTCTTGACCCATACCAGGTCGCCACCATCCCCCAAAGGAGGAAGTGTAAGAGTCCAAGCACATGATGTCATTCCAAGACAACCACATCCTAGTGAAATGCACATTAGGATGGTAGTGAGTTAGAGAAGGAATCAGGTAACAGCTTCTCAGGAGATAAACATAAAAATAAGTGCCATTATCTCAAAAGCATGAATGAAATCCATTAGAAGCATTACATTTTTTTTTTTTAATTTAGAAGCGTTACCTTTTAACAATGAGATTTATGGCATAAATGACATGTAAGAATTGTAGCACATGCTTTTGCTTCATTCATCCCGTGCCAATGAAGAAGTATAGGTAGGAAAGATTACAACAGTAGCCCCTTAGCAACAACCAACCACACCACAAAGCCAGTCACTGAATCCGTTGCTCTGCCAGGAATGCATTCAGGAGTTGCCACACATAAGTACATTATGCATTATATTCCATATCGCATCGCCAATGGAAACATGGGGATATCGCTCACTGACACCAAGTGAAAATATCATTCTTAAAAGGAACTCACGTTCTTTTATAAGGCAGGGTGTATTTCAATGTTTCTGTGATGCACACAAAAGAATCATGCATAGGAGCTCGCAGAGTCAAGTTATCAGGCCTCACTTAGACATGGTGACAAGACTTGAGTCCAATGTGCACAATCCCACAATTCAAGAATAGAGAATGTATTTGTTTTATAAATCTAGGGGGGGATAACTTATATAATCAAGGAGAAATCTCCAAACAGACATGGCAAAAGGGCCAAATGACATCAGACAGGTATTTTTATCTCTGGCTTCATTTCTTCAAACATTGGGGTTCTGACCATATGTTTCTTCACAAGCCCAGAATTTTATAGAACCGTGCTGTAAAGTGTGGGTCCACATCATAGCGTAGATTCATTTATAAAACCAAAGGGAGTATTTTATAAGATCAGAGTCTCTGCTACAACCTTACCAGGGAATGCCCCAAACTAGATCTGAAAATGCCATACTCAAGGGCATATTGTCTGTGTCTCCTTTATGGGGATTTGTTACAAGCATTTAAGGGATGGCTCTGTGTTGACCGTACCATAACTTATTAAGGAAACTTAACATCTTGTGACAATTCCTTCAATATCTTATTTGTTTAATGTTCTCAATGTTCAACATGTAACCCAAGAGGAAGTTTCCACCTAAGCTTACTTGTTAAACCATCCATTACCAGCTGTCCCTGCTATTGAATAAGAGTTCTTTGGGCGTTTGGAGAGATTCCCCATGCCCTCCATTTGCAAACCACTGCTCTTTCTGGGTAGATATTTCTGCTGTTGCACTACTAGGGTCTGCCTGGGCTGTGTGAAGACTTTCAACTGTGAGCCATTATTGTTCAATTTCCTCACCAACAAATATCTTTCTACTTTACATATACACGTGGGATAGAAGGCAGAAAAGAAAAGCAGGAGAGAAAGGGAGAGGGAGAGAGAGAGAAGAGAGATATCACTGGTAGTCCAAAAGGGATATTAGAAATCAAATGGCTCAATCTTTTAATTTTTCAGATGGGAAAACTAGGGCCCAAAGAAGATTTGATTTGCTCAGAGTCATATAGCCAGATTGGCACAATCAGAACTATACCATGGATTATAAATTCCACTATTCTTATTTTACTAGAGTCTATGACTTCATAGATCTTGTCTGAGAGAATTGCTCAGATCATTCAAATCTTTGCTCCAGTGATTTTATTACAAGGAATATCTATATCTATATCTATATCTATATCTATATCTATATCTATATCTATATCTATATCTATATCTATATCTATATCTATCTATATAAAAGGCTAATAAGCAAAGTATCCCCTTGGAGTTCGACTGGGAGACCAGGAGTTCGATCACTCACTATGATGTATGCTGACTACCATGGGGTGGCGGAGAACGAAGGAAGGTTCCAGCCAGCAGCCAGAAGGCCCTGATTGGCCCTGACCCTACCCGTGCATGAATTTCGCGCACCGGGCCTCTACTATTAACAATAAATGACAAAAGAACCCAGTACGAGGCCTTCTGAAATGGTGGTCATGTGACCCATCATCACAGGCACTGGAAATGCACCAGCAGTGAGTGGATTTGCCCAGCATGGAGGATGCTGGGAATGACTGGGATTCTCCTCCACTGGCACATTGTGAGGTTATACCTATGTGGCATCTAAAATTGCCACACTTTCAGCAAAACTAAATTTTCTAACAAAAATTTACTTTCTAACAAAATTTATTCAATGGAAGAAAATTATTCTCGCTAGTTTGGCATTATATACACAATAGGAATGTGTGACAGGTTTAAAATTTCAACCTTTGTTTTGTAATTGTCCAGTTTTAAAAGGACAAAATGAATAGAATGAAATTATATCAGGATGCCAACAGGGAAATTAGAAAGGCACTTACATTTTCTTCTAAGGCAACTAATAGCAAATTTTTAGTTCTCAAGAAAAAGAGAGTTTATAAACTGGCCAAGTTGAAGTACACTTTGCAATTTGTAGAACTGATTGAATTTCAATATTTTAGAAAATATGTGTAATTTTATAGTAGCAAAAATATTTAAAAAATAAAACTTATTGCCCTAGCCAGTTTGGCTCAGTGGATAGAACATCAGCCTGCAGACCAAAGGGTCCCAGGTTTGACGCCAGTCAAGGGCATGTACCTTGGTTGCAGGCTTTTCTCAGCCTGGGCCCTGCTCTGGACGTATGCAAGAGGCAACCAATCGATGTGCTTCTCTCACATCAATGTTTCTCTCTGTCTTTCCCTCTCTCTAAAAATCAATGGAAAAATATCCTTGGGTGAAGATTAACAAAAAAATAAAAATAAAACTTATTGCCCAGCCCTGTGGCTCAGTGGTTGAGAATCAACCTATGAACCAGGAAGGAGGTGATGGTGTGATTCCTGATCAGGGCACATGCTGGGGTTGTAGGTTTGATCTCTAGTTGGGAATGTGCAGGAGGCAGCCAATCAATGATTCTCTCTCATCATTGATCTCTTTTCTCTCTCTCTCTCTCTCTCTCTCTCTCTCTCTCTCTCTCTCTCTCTCTCTCTCTCCCTTTACCTTCCTCTCTGCAATCAATAGAAATATATTTTAAAATAAATAAATAAATAAATAAAGCTTATTGTCTTCATTCTACCCTAGCACTGGGGTTCACTTGTTATCAGTTGGGAGGGAAAAAGACCTCAAAATCTTAAGTTTTATTTCCACTGACTAAATCACTACCTCCTGACAAGTAATGAAGTTAGAAAAACCACTGAGTGCAATTATAAACAAGAAAATTTCACCCAAACATAATCTGTCGATTCAAAGTTTTTAAATGCACGCACACATGAGCATACACTACACACACACACACACACACACTACTCTATATGTCTTCTATCATTATCTTTATAAACAAAATGATCCTTTAAATACCCAGTAACACTACTGTTGTTTTCAACATAGGGGTTAACCGAGTAGGATTTCCACTGTAAAATATGAAGGTTGACTCTCTTCTAGGTGTAGTGTTCTTATTCAATAAGACTTTTTACATTTATTTAACTATATGCAAATTCTTAGAACAAGAATAAATTAAATGTTTGGATCTTTGCATAATTTTTCCAATTTTTAAATAATGACATCCTTACTTCATATTTGAGTTTTGTGCTATAATCAAAAAGAGGGTCCTTTCTGTATAGCACTCAAGGGCTCTGTCAGTTTTCCTCAGGGCCTTTCCTTAGACCTGTGACATAGCCACATAATTCTTTGAAATGTCTATTGTGCTGTAATATTCCCTTGATAAAGCCCAGAGGTCACCACCAGAATCTCTTTGTTTTGCAAGTGCTGATAAAAGAATTGCTGAGGCTGGTGCTGCTTTCCCTCTGGGAGGTTCTGTTGTGTCTGGTTTTTCAACTACCCTTCAGTAATGATACCCCCTCACCCCCCACCACCACCTTTTGACAATAGGCTCATGAATTCCAAGCTTTTTAAGTAGCTTTCTGCTTTTTAAGTACAAATTGTCTAAAGTAATCTCTAAAATATAGTATTGGGTCCCAAAGAGGACTGGTACAGAATCCCATTCCGTTTTTTGTTTATTTATTCTTGCATGTGGTGTTTTTTTTTCATCTGTATTATTTGTTTTTTTGACAGAATCCCATTCTGAAGAGTCGACTTCTTATTTCCTTCTTCTATCAGAAAACTCTGTTCTTAACTCACTCCGTAATCCTCATGCATGTAGCAAATCTATCAGGTAAGTAGTGAGGTGTAGGCGTGTTAGATATATTCAGTGCAATATCCAGGACTTATTAACCTATGTCTTAGCTGATGTCTGAAATGTTTCTTTTGTTATCTGAGGAACATCCCTCAAACCATGGATTCCCAAACCCCTTTGGCTTCTCCCTTTGGATTCTAAGTGGATGTTTCTTACATTTTTGCTTTAGGAATATCCAAGGCTATGAGAATCATGGTTGAGGCATAGTTTTAAAAATGCTACAAGCTGTTATCCTAAATTAAAGCTTCTTTTATTCCAAACATGTTAGGCATCTCTCCAAGAAACAGATGAAAGAAGAATATATACTTCCTACTTTTTTTGTCCTTTCCTCATTGTCTAGTAGTGAGTGAGACTTGAGAGTGTTTTAGAAAACCTGAGATATTTGCACATAAGTAGAATTAATAGCAGAAAATACGTCCCCAAGTTACCCTGGGCTTAAAGACAGAGAAAGAACAGGCATAGTTTTCATATATAGACCATCTGAGCTATTAACTCTCCTCCAAGGAGTACAGGGATGCCTTTCTATAATGCAGTGAGGAAGAGAATGTGAAGAAGACACTGCATTCATAAGAGACTTCATAGAAAATAGGACTCCAAAGATCATGGCACCAGTCAAGCTTTCTTTCAAGGTGCCACCACTAAGCACCAACAGAATACACTCTTCACTATACATTTTCATAAACACATACAAGTCACCCAACCGGAACCTCTACGAATCTTTGACACAAAAATCTCATCTCAGATATTTTTCAAGTTTCACTTTTTAAGTATGTTGTCTTTTTGGGCAACCTGGCAAGTTAGCATTTTTCTTCCAATTTCTAAAACTGGTGTGCAGATTTGACAGCTCTTCATGCTCTGGGGATTTAAAAAAATGTACTGTGTGGAAATAGAAGATGTGGCCATGTCTAAAAATAGTCTTCCCTATTCTGTGGAATGACTTCACTGGCTCATCTCACCCAGAACTGCTGACCACCATCCTTCTTACTTGTGCTTGTAGAATGCTGGGTCGCCGCTTCGTCATGATGCTCATGATGAGTGAGAGGCGACTGTGCCTCCTGGGTCCAGTTTTCTCCATAATCACTGGTGCCACTTCTGTCCACATCTGTTGTGATGATGTTTATATACACTGTAAATTTTTATCAACCAAATTGATGGTTCTGTTCTTCCATTAAAGTACATGATATTTAAGAGTTCAATGCCTGAGCATCTACTATCAATACTTCTGAGTGACTTCACTAATCTCTTGCAAGGAAAGAAACCATTGGGCACGGAATTTCTTAATGATGACTTCTTATTCCACCATAACCACTTTCTCAAGGGCAACACCATAAACCATTTTAATGTATTCATTCTTATAATGGAGCAACATAAAATATCTTGTGCCCAGATGGTATGATTGACAAATGACCCCTAAGTTGAATTGAGTATCGTCATGAAAGTTCTCTAAGAATTTGTGATGAGATATTAACTACATTTCCCACTGTGTCCTGTCAATTGACCTTTGCAGCATCATAGACTTTGAGGGAGAAAATATCTTTAATTAAGAACGCATATCCCATTACCAGTCATCCTTGTGGTTGTCTGAAGTGATACTTCTGGGTTTAGAAAGCCTGGGCTCCACTGGCTCCCATTCCGGTTCTGGGTTGAGTGGTCAGAAGCCTGTGGTGTGGCTGAAACTGTGGCAATGATGATGAAGTTATTAGGAAAATGGTATTTCTTGAGCCTTCACCACCTGTTTTGCACTTTCCCCCCTTCTTTGGTCTGTCCAGTGAATCATCTATACCAGTTTGTATAGATGGTTGAGTGGAAATGGAAGGAAAGCAGAGAGTGCCTTCGGCTTGGTCCAGTCATATTGTTAAGCATCTCAGTGTCCTTTGCATTCTGTCATAGAATACTTTGGGGCCAGAACATGAGATCTTCTGGAGAAAGCAGCCAAAGAAGCTGCAGCAGGAAAAAGAAAGCTTTGGAAACACCAGCCCTCCACCGAGGATAACCAAAGACCGGCAGAGCGTTGCCCATCCATGCAGTCAGTAATGTCCCTTTGCATTTGAAAGCCCAAGGAATTTGTATCACTGGCAAGCGCACTACATATAGATCCTCAGGATGAAGGGGTAGGTACCTGGAAGTTATACCATGATGATCACTTTATTTCATTTCTAGTTTTGGTGGGGAAAGAAATACTCTGGGCATCCAGAACTTTCCTATAGGTGATTCTAAGAAAGATTATCTACCCGTAACAGCCACATGATTTAGCTATACACTTCTGAATATTTATCAAACACCTATGATATGCTCATCAAATACAAAGCATTTAACCAGCAAGCCATTCACAGCCATTGGTGGGGGAGCGGGGGAAGGAGACGACGGGGGTAGCAGAGAACAAGACGAATAGATTCAATAGGAAAACACCAAAGGGAACCAACCACCACCATCACAGCAGCTCCCCAGGGGGAAAAAAGAGAAAGAAAGAGTCATATATCCACCAGTGCTCTGATACTGTCACCCAAATGATAGGGCTAGAATAGGAGACACATCCGACAGAAGGATTATAACAAAATCAGAATTAATGTCTTTTGTGAAAAGGTTATTGGCAAATCCATCCTGTTCTTTCAAACTTTATATTGATACCCAAATAATACAAAACTCTTTTCAGAACTATACTACTATCATCTCTATTTCACAAGTTAAGAAAATCAGGTTTAGTATCACTGACCACATTCGCAATACGTATGGAAGTGGCAGTTTTCACACCCTTACAGAAGAGAGAGGCATCCTGTTGAATTATGTGCACAGGTGCCAAGCAGAAAAGTGAAATGAAATTGGAAAATATACCACAAAGATGAAAAATATCAAGGGAAGTTTTCCTCTGGGATGTGATCATACAAGTTATTTTTAGGTCCATCTGTTTGGATTGCCAACCAAAAAGTGTTTAGTTTCTCATGTTTCAAGACCATCTCTTTGTTGGTGGCCCCACCTGGAAGATGGGGCCACATCCTAACTCAGGAGACAGGGTAATAATAAAGCGCCAGTGGTTTTGGTTATTTGGCTTTCTTCCTGAAGATACTAGAAAGAGTTTCCTTGTTTCATAGACTAACCTCTGCAGAGGTGTCCAGGCTAAGGACTATACCATAATGCATTTAGTTTATCTCAAGTTTTTGTTCTAACAATGCAATATGTTTAGATGCTTTTAAGGCCTAAGCTATTTGGGGGGGGGGGGGGAGGATCTCTCCCTCCCTGAGTGCTGTCCATTTGGAGATGATACTCTCAGATTAGAATGGACAGAACCCAAAACAGCTCATGTGGCACCCTAAATGGACACTTTCTCTAAGGAAAAGCAGAGCTATTAGGAAATCTGGTCCAGGATTCTCATGTCTGTTCGGCAATATCCTAGATCATTACAGGTCTGAATAGAAAACTCAGTCCTCTGACAGAATATTAGACCAATCATTGTATTTTTAGAGGACATTTTTCAGCTCAATTCCATCTCTTTTCTCAAAAAGTTTTATAGTTGTCACAAAGTTGAATACTATTATGCAGTGGTTTCACTACTTGTTCTTAATAGTTGGCACTATTTTGTTAAAGCTCAGCTGACATGTGTCCTTTGCTTCAACGTCTGTTATATTGGTGCCCAATTTGTTTGTTAAAGCTTTGGATTTATTCCCTTGACCTCAACCAGGTTTTGATTAACTAAGACAATTCTTGAGTTCTAGTTCCCATTGTTTAAGCCTTTCTAAGGTCTTTCTAAGTCTTTAATTTAGGATCATCTACAACTTTGATTTACTATCCTTCCAATCACATTCTCAACTCCATCGCTTCAATAGACCATAAGTTCCTTGAAGGCAAGAGCTCTGGCTTTTTTCATATTTGTGTTACCAGCACCTAGCACAGTGACTACACAATGAATATTTATTGTAATATTTTACTGTGCCATTTTCTGACAAAGTTCAATAGTTCAAAAAAACAAAAATCTGTAGCATCAGACCACATAAATAAACCAGGGAGAACATGAGGCACTAGGAATTTTATAAAACATGTTTTTCCCATTTCTCCTCCAAATACAGTTTGGCTTCCATTAAAAAATCTATTTCTTCCTTTAAAATCTCATCAAGGTATAACCAAGGTGTGGTCAGAGGCTTATGCTCATTGTTCATATTAACTGTTTCCCAAAAGAGATACTATTGGGTATCACTCAGATTAATTGGTAAGCCTTGCATAAATGGTTCTACTGTAATTGATTATCCTTACTGGTGCTGGAGATAAAATCTTCATCATCATCAATGCCTGATCCAGAATGAATGGGGTGTTTGTCTCTTTCATCTTCATTTTCTTCAGTTGGCTTCCAGCCTGCTGAGATGGTATTTGAATCCGTACCTGTTGTGGTGATTTGCATTAGTAGCTGAGCTGGATGCCAAGTAGCCCACTTGACAAAGGAAGAAAATCAGGCACAGAATGTACGATGGAATTCCCAAGATTATAAGAAGAAAGTGAAACATTTGGCGCGTATACCCCTAAATTATCATATCTTGGTCTCTGAAGCTAAACTATGGATCTAAAAACAATTTTCTAGTATCTTTACAACTGGACATTCTCTTTAAGAAGTTAAAGAATAAATATAGACACAACCTAACCAAAGAAGTAAAAGAAATGAAAGGCCAATAAACACTCCCTCGTGCTTATAGAGACACTTATTAACTTATGAAGCACATGTCATTAAAGCCAGGACTCCCAGAAGAGAATGGAAACGTTTCACATGTGCCTATTTGCTTTGTCAAGCTACTTTCAAAAACCCTAGGACTCTAAATACATCAGTCTTTTCTAAAATCCCATAGTTGTATTCACAATTTGCTAATTCATTTTTTATCTTCTCTAGCATCATATCAGTGTACTGTAAAGGCAAATGAAAGCTACACTGCAGTCCCAACAATACTTCAGCATACAGGGATGGAAAAGTCAGTTCATTAAGAGAAGTCATAGCTACCATTTGTTAGTCAACCCTTCTGATCGTCTAAAGTGGACAGACTGTAGCCAAGATTTGGAGAAATCTCCCTCTTCTCCTTTTGGAAGCAATCACAAGAAAGACGGAAACCCTCCCCCTCTTATCCATGGTTACTGCAGAAGACGTCTCTTTACACAAAGGGTTTCCTACATTTTGAATCAGACTCACACTATCTTTTTGGAATGAACATTTGTCTTTTCATCTGTTAGTATCTACCCCAAGAATAGTTCCACTGATCAAAATTTGCTATATTTTGTTAGCTCTAGCTAGGCTATTGTATTTTTCCTCCTGAAAAGTAAAAAATGTCAAATGACTTTAATCATTGTAGAATACCATTCAGAGTCAAAATTTTGTCTGTCATCAAGAAATACCTGGCTCCTTTTCACAATCCCCTTATTAGCCTCCTCCTGGGCTATCTTAATTCTATAGAATGGAAAAAAGAAATGCGCTTAATAGTGCTATAAAACCAAACACATAGATCTCAGAGCTCATGATCCTTCTAACATCATTGAAAACATTTGTGAAACCAGAATGGACTGTAGACTTTGACAGTATCCCCAAAGTCAATGAGAATTACTGAAGACTGTCAAGAAAACCTATGAAACGAGATAATAATAACGCATTACCAGCCATTACTGTTGTTGTGTGAAGATGGTTCTTAGACTCTGATGGTTGAAACAACCATGAAAACCAATCCTCAGCTTCTCGCCTCTTGGTTGTAGTTTTGGGAGTTGTACCACTAGTGCTCATCAAAGCTGTTGCAGCTATAATTGAATGGATTGCTGAAAGGTTAATTATCAGTTCCTAAGAAATAGCATTGCATATGCTTTTACTCTTTATCTACTCAAGAGAATTATCTACACTTGATATTTAGATGGAGAAAAGAAAGGGAAAAAGCACAGAAGTTCCATTTATTTCAGAGGCCCAAATTGGAGTTCATAGGATGTCAGAGATAGAAGGACCCTAAATCCATCTAATTCATGCTGCTCATCTCAAAGATGAGAAAACTGTGCTGTACAGATCGTGACTTGTGTGAAGTCAGAGAGGTCTCAGGAGGAGCATGAAAGCTGTCTTTGAGTTTTGAAAGGCTGTAATGTGAAAAAGGAATTAATTTTTTTGTCTGTGCTCCCAAAGTCTCAATTTGGACCTGTGGTGAGAATTTGGGGAGGTGACTATTCCTCCAAATGTTGAATGTAAAAAAGTTAATAATCTGAACTTCCCAACAATGAGCTTCTTCATGAAGAATGATGTGCCCCATCATCAGAAAGATCACTTGGGGGGAAAGTTGTGTGTGAGATTAAATGATTAGACGTTTTGATGGAACTAGACCATTTAAGATCTCCAGATCTGAGCATCTAGGATTCTAAAACCCAGCTCTTCATCTTAGCCCTTCATCTGCTGCACATTCTATCTTGGCCAAGCAATATCATTCTCCAAGAATTTGGGATATGATATATCTGTGAGCAATTCCAGACACATAATCCCAAATACACAGAAGGATGACACAAGAAGTGAAAAATGGGGGGGAAAATGCCTTTCTGCTTTTTCCATTTAGAGTCCAAATCCTCTAGCAATCTTGCCATGGTCACGTTTTATATTGACACTATATTTTGCACAACAGAGCAGGACATTTTGAGTTCCAATTTTGAAAAGAGGAAAATCAATCAGGAAAGACAGAGACGAAGTAACCCAGTGATCTCACTAACAAGACCAGAAGCAAGAGTCATGACTTGAAAACGATTAAAGACTGCCATTTCTGTAATCATGACGTGCCGCAGGAGAACATTAGATAATGAGGACAAACTGAAAAAAGTTCAAGCAGAGAGACTGACACCATCATTAAATTCCCAAATACAAAGGTGAGGTGAATTAGATTCCATTTTTCAGCTATCAAGAAAGTCCAGAAATGACCCGAGGTGAAACATTGATAAGACTATATCCTTCACAGTGTTTACCCTATGAAGATAAACGTTTCAAACATTTAAAATTAGAATATTCTTTACTCTGCAATATCTATCTTCCTCCTCCCCCCCCCCCACAGCCCCTCTCTCCAGCATTATCTTAATCACTATGATATGCAGTCATAACATTGGCACTATTTTCCTTACTTGAGCATTTGTCAAAATAATGGATATAGTTTATTCAGTGTCTTAACAGCTAAGCAAATGTAAAGGACGATTTTGATTACTCTCCTTCTGTAGAAAGAATACCTAATTATTTTGAAATATGACCTAATCCTCCATCAACGAAAGTTAATAAATGTAGACATGCTTGTAATTTCCCATTATTATAGTCTTTGAATCTTTTCCCACAAAAGCTCTCAGGTCAAAATACTTTGCAGGAGCTTAGGGTTAACAGTCAAAGATCCAGGGAGCTTGTTGGAGGCCTAGATTCTGATGTAAGGCAACAGGTCACTTCCTGCACTTTGCAGTTGAGGTTTTAGATGTCCACATAATTATCTCAGGCCTACACGTTCCATCTGAAAATCAAGATTTTTCCTCTATGATTATTGACTGTGATAATTAGCAGAAAGTAGGAGTATGCATTTTCTGATAGGCTTTTTTTCTAGAGTGCTTGCTTTGAAGAATTCTTTTAAGGGAAGCCCCTAGAGAAACAATAATTCTGATTATTTGGCATGTTGATTAGGAGTATCGGATAGTATCCCAGACTCATAAATGAGATGGTACCAGACCCTGCTCTCACTAACAATCACGACGGAGCATCAGCAGAAAATGATAACGGATGTCCTTTTCCTCAACACTGAAATACTTGGCATCAGGACAACAAATAAGCAGAAGACATAATAGCTTACCTGTTGTTGCTGTTGTTTGATCCTGAGTCTCAGGCTGTGAATTATCAAACCAAGACCATATCTAATTAATGTGCTCCTGAGCCGCTGCATGGCTGTTTGAGTGCACAGTGGAAGTAATTGAATCAATCATGAAAACATCGTTTAGTGAGGTCTTTCTACAAAGCCTTTACTCTTAGTTCTGTCTATACATAATGTTTGTATCTATTATAGAATGACGATTAGAAAAGAAGGATCGAGGCCTGGTTTTACATTTCCACTCTCCTAAAGTCTCCTGGAATCCTATATATTAAAAGCCTAATATGCTAAGTTTCTGATCCGCCGTTCAACCAATCAAAGCATAATACGCTAATGATATACTAAGGCCGCTCAACCGCTCGCTATGACGTGCACCAGGGGGCAGACACTCCAACCAGTAGGTTAGCTTGCTGCTGGGGTCCGGCCTGGAGCCCTCCCGCAGTCCCTCCCTGGCTGGCCAACCTCCCACATCCTTCCCCGGCCCCGATCACACACCAGTGGGGTCCCTCGGCCTGGCCTGTGCCCTCTCGCAATCCGGGACCCCTCGGAGGATGTCAGGGAGCCGGTTTCGGCCCAATCCTGCAGGCCAGGCGAAGGGACCCCACTGGTGCATGAATTCGTGCATTGGGCCTCTAGTCTTAGGATAACGTTGGAAATGCAAATTCTCTATAGGTATCAATTCAGTGCTACTCATTCTTCAAATGGAATCCCCTGAATACAGGCTCAGGGAGAAATCAAGTAGCAACTTAATAAGCTATGATGGAAAGAGATTTTTATACGTACTTGACTGGGTGATTCAGCTATGCACTAAAGATCTTCAACACAGAATTTCATAAAGTTGCTTTTATTCATCTATTTTTGGAGTGTCTTAAGAGGTGCACCCCCTTTTGGGTCTATCATTTTACCCAGGTAGCTTGTGATGATAACTGGCATTTGAAAGCTCTACTGACACTCATTAACCTCAAGTCAAGCTTTATACTTTATGTAAGTCAAGCAGGAACTTTGCAAAGGGTATGTGTTCAACGTGTTGAAATCAGATCTCAAGCATCCGTCCATCACTTTCTGTAACTTTTAATTCTAATTCAGAATGTCTTTCCAGAAAGGAAAAACAAGCTTTCTCAAGTTAAAAAAAAATTCTGGACTCTGTTCAAATTAGAGAAAGGATAATTGGTAATATTTTACAATTTGAAATATCTCATTTGACTCTCAAGTTGGACTGAATCCAAAACATTTCCCTATAGATGAAGAATGTCAAATAGCACCAGAATAAACATCTAAACCACTTGTGAAAATCTGATAAAAGCTATGACTTTTTTTTTTCTTTAAAAAACTGATCCTGCACATACACATTCTAAAATTTTTGCATATTATTTCAGGTGGTCTTGTATACTGTATGGCTGTCATTGACTCTACTGGCAGTCAATGAATTCCTGGTTAAAAACTTTGACTGTATACAGGCCAAATGTCAACCACCTGCACAATATATTCTATGCTACCAAGGACACATTTGCTCAGAATAAAGAGTAGAGAGCTAGGAGCCAATTTCACCAATGATGCCCTGAGATAAACCTGCGCATTCCCTAAAAAATTTGCAGACATCCCATTCTCACCTCAGAAACTAAATAAAGATGCATAACTCATGCTACCCTCACCCTATACCAGTGGTCGGCAAACTGCGGCTCGCGAGCCACATGCGGCTCTTTGACCCCTTGAGTGTGGCTCTTCCACAAAATACCACGTGCGGGCGCTCATGTACAGTGCAACTGAAACTTTGTGGCCCATATGCAGAAGTCAGTATTTTGTGGAAGAGCCACACTCAAGGGGCCAAAGAGCCGCATGTGGCTCGCGAGCCGCAGTTTGCCGGCCACTGCCCTACACCAAGAAGAGGCCAACAGGAAGTAAACATACAGGAGCAATATAGAAATTGGCATTATTTTTTGTCTTCCTGAAAGGAGTTATGAGATTTGGGAGGAAAGGAAAGAGCTACTGCCTAGCCAGCAGAGTTTCCAATTTTCCCCCCCACCCAAGTAAGCCATGCCAGACCAAAAATATATATGTATCAAAAACATTCTTTGACACCCAGAAAACAAGGAAATAGAGTGCTCCTATGCAGGAGTTGGTTTCCTGAATGAGTATAGGTTTCTGGATTCCAAAGAATTCCAGATCACAGATAGGAAAGGAGCTGATGACATGCCTCCAGGAGGGCTCTTCCAAAAATAACACTTACAGTAAAAGGGCTGCTGGCAATCAAAACCTACCCAGATGGCTGTTCTTATTGGCTTTCCCTACTGCCCACCCACTAAGGACCCTTAAGGAAGGGATGAGCCAGCCAAGGCAAAGAGCAATTCTAGGTACTCAGCCAACCCTCCTCTTGACCTCTGCCCTCCTGCACGCATTAGGGAGGATTCGCAATCACTCCCTCTCACCAAGTTCCAACTCTCAATCCAACAGTCATGACGTTTTCCTCACTGGGCTTAAAAAATGTGGTGTATTTAGGAACTCACCACTGCTAACTTTTCTAGTTTGTTATATGCTACTTTCAAGTTTCTCCCTGAATCCTATAGCATTTCAGTCACTCTGGGGTTAGCCCTGGCCTCACTCTAGTGGACAAGTGAGTCTCTCTCTCTCTCTCTTCCTTAACTACTAAAAGAAACTTAGCTAAGTGCTCTGGAAAGAAGAAAGCACAATTCTCTTCTCAACACAAATCCTGAATTACGTTTCAGCAAAACAGAGCACACTCCTTCCTTGCTTTCTGAACAGTGGATAAGCCCCATGAAAGTAGGTCCAACTCAGAGTCCTCAGGAATGAGGGCAGCGTCTGGCACAGAGAAGACCTCAAGTACTGGTTGAATGAATGACTAGCTTACTAATAACCCTTACTTCCTTCTATATCACTCTCTAAGAATATTGTCTACTGGCTCCTAAGCATTCGAATAAGCCCATTACATAATAGATATTCAATATTTGCTGACTAACAGGCAGAAAAAGTACTAAAAGATGCGCTATGAATGTTTCTTAAATGTGCTGACTGGCTACCTTAAAGCACAGGTGAACTACTCCGTATTTTAGATAGTTACTAGCAACTGGAATGTTAACTTCATCTAGTTCCCACAAGATATAGTTTGTCGGGACTTTCTTCCTTGGGAAATGGAAGTTTAGGGTATAAACATGACCTGCCTCCTGCTGAGACCAGTAACTGCTGTCTGCCAGCATCTGACAAGATGAGAGTGTGATGATAAGCACCTTCAGCAGGGCTACTTTAAGGGCAGGGAAATCAAGGAGCATCAAGTAGCCAGCAGCACGGCCAGCTTGGTCTGCAAAAGTTTCTCTCAAGAAAGGTTGTCTGTGGGACTACAAACAAGGAGTGACCAACAGCTGGCTCCAGAGAGCCAATATTCTGGGAAAACATGGGCAATTTGCAAGTGCCTGCTTTTTGAAATGCTTCAAAGAATCTGCAGAAGACGACCAGGACCCCAAACCAACGTGCACCACTCACTCAGCAAGCTGCTAACAGAAATTTAATCCACGGCTGAGCAAGCAACCTTACATTGACTCTCGGGGCTTTGGAGGTTTCCTGGCTTCTGGGTGACACGGGATGGAAAGGGTCCTGTCTCGTCTCCAGCATTCACAGCCCAGTAAATCTCTGCCTCATTCTTTGGAGAGCAGAGTTCCACCCCTCACGAGCCATCGCCAGGAAAAGAGCAAATCCACACCATACTAGGAAAGCGACTCAAGAGGAGACGCCCTGCCTGAGTTTGAATAATCTTCCACGGAAGGAACACAGCCACTCCGGAAGCATGTTTTAAAACAAACCCTGGGGGCAAAGCCAAGAGGGAAGTGAAGGAAGAGACCAGAGGGAGATGTAAACGCTTCCCAATGCAAGCGGAAGCACAAGGAGCCCTCGAGAAGGCACTGCTTCCATATTCCCACCCTCCCTGCCCCAAGGTAATGAATGACCCTCACAAACCAGGAGCCTTCCCCTACAGCTGGCATATAAAACTCTTAAGCAGATTTCATGTGATCAGATAACTCCTCCAGCTATGTTTCCCTAGACCCGTGGTCGGCACACTGCGCCTCGCGAGCCACATGCGGCTCTTTGGCCCCTTGAGTGTGGCTCTTCCACAACATACCACGTGCGGGCAAACACGTACAGTGCCATTGAAACTTCGTGGCCCATGTGCAGAAGTCGGTATTTTGTGGAAGAGCTACACTCAAGGGGCCAAAGAGTCGCATGTGGCTCGCGAGCCGCAGTTTGCTGACCACTGCCCTAGACCAAAAAACAAAGAAATTGTTCAGAAATCCTGGGTGATGAATATGACTGAGTATTAGTCAACAACATGAGTATAAATCAGGTTAAAATAGAAAAAAGATGAAGTTAAGAGAAACAGGAAGGAGCCAATGGCTTGTATGCACCTGCCATGAGAGCCCCGCTTAGGAAAGTCTCACCCAGAGGTGGGTAAGAACCAGCAGGAAACATGCAAAACTGAGAACCACTTCTGTATCAGGCTTGATGTCACCCTATCGCTGGGACAAGAGAATAAGGAAAGCTCTAAAAGAAAACTTTTGACATGGCACTTCGTATCCCACGGTAAGAAACACAGAGTTGCAGGTGAAAAAAAAAAGAGACTATGTTGGCAGTAGCAGTCAGTGCGCACACGGCACTGACAGCCTGCACAGCCCACCTCCCCAAACGCCGTCACCAGCTTCCAGACAGGAGACACGCTGCGTGTGCGTGCATATCACTCAAGAAGGACCGAGATGGTTTTGCAAATGAATCACTCGTGGGAAGCCCAGTGATTCGCTGTCCTTACTGGTGTCGGGGGTCTCCTCCGGATAGTAGGACACTCCGGGACTGTCTTGGTCTTGGGTCGGGTGAGCAGTCGGAAAGTGGGTGTGGATGATGTAACTTTCTGGAGTGCTTCTTTCACCGTAGGACCCACTGCTGGTGTCATAGTCAGCAGTAGTGTTGTTGATGTCATCAGGGTTAGTTCTGTATTCGCCCTTCTGGGTGTAGCGGGTACCATCCCGGTTAACAATACCTGGGGGAGAGAGAGAAGGCCCTTTTAGGAGGTGGCAGCTGACACTTTCTGAGTATAGTAAAGACTGTGAATTATCACCTAAGATGGTGACTGTAAAGCTACTTTTCTTTTTTATTAGGAAAAGCAACACCTAAACTACCTGTCTAGTGGGGGGATGTGTGGCTGAAGCAATGAGAAGAGTGCACACTCCCCTGACCACTCATGCACCTGGAAAATGAAGAGGGGAAAAGAGATTGTGTTTGGGAGTTGCCCTCTTGGGATTCCAGTGCTGTGTGGCTCCAGGCAAGGTAGGTACCTCTCTGAGCTTCAGTTTTGTCATTCCATTATGAGCATAATGTAATATTGTCTGTAAAGTGCTGGCACAGTATTCAAAATATAGTTGGTGCTCAATAAGTGATAAGTCTCCTGCCTGGTTCCTATTGCCCTTCTCAAGAACATGTCAACTTTGTGCTATTAGTTCCACCGATTTCCAGAGAGGATAAGAGGGAGGAGACACAGAGGCTATTAGCATCAGCAGGGAATATATAGTTGCAAACTCACGCAAGAATTAGATTTTCTTCCTAAGGGTCCAATTTTGTCAGTTTAAGTGAATCCCTACTCCTGGATCAGAAATTATCATGCTTGAGTACTGACAAAGCCTCTGTCATCCTCAATGAAATTCAACCTTGAAATTAGGAAGCACAGATGTATATTAAGATCAAAATCGTTGGTTTAAACAAGAAAATGACTAGAACGGACAGGAGGAGGAAACGCAAGGATGAATTCATTCATTGTTCTTCCCTGAAAGTATTTGCCGCCTTCAAACCCGGGCCACTCACTGCCCAAGTGTGCATTTATCTGAAGTTATTTTCTGCTGTATTGCACTGGAAGGACTGAAGATTCCTTTTGTCCACCTATCTAGCTTGCCCAAGTGGAACTATTCATAAAACGTAAATTTAAAAACATTCCAAAGTCTCAGTCACCCTGATAATCTCTGCAGATGAGAATCTGATAAGGAAATATGACCAAAGTTGCACAGGTCTGGACTTCAGAAGACATCTGTGGGGACCAAGGAAGTGGGACATTTATTGAGCATCTACTATGGACCAGGCATGCATTAGACATATGCTTTCTCTTAATTCTCAGGGGAAAAGTCACATATGTTGTTTCATTACCCAGATGAGAAATGGAGGCTCAGAAAGAGTAAGTCGCTCCTCTAAGTCCGCCCAGGTAGTGAGGTACTGGGATTCCACACCAGGCATGACTGAGACAGCACATCTCACACCGCAGGCCTCCACTTCCTAGTGCAAGGCACAGGCCAGGGACAAATCCCTCCCTAACAGTGGGGGCTGGATTTGTGTGGTCCAGGAAGATTCTTGCCCCCCTGCCACTGTCACCACTATTCCTAGGCACACGGAGAGGTCTGGCTCTTAGCAGGCAGACATCAGGCCTCCTCAGCACTGTCATACTTCTCAAGAAGTGAGGTTCAGAGGCAATAAGATCAGAGATAATAAGTCGACCTCTTTGAAAGTTTTGTCTGGGACACTGTTTTCTACAGTGCCAGATGTCTACGTCTGGGGATCACTTCAAATAATGTTGAATCACATATCGGGAAGTTTATACCCTTTATAATTATCTTTCAATACTCCAGTTAAATCAAACACAAAATCGTGGGGGCTAGAATGTCCCTATCCTACCTCTTAATAATCCCCCTCTGTGAGAGAGAACACAGCTCGGAGCCTTCAGCTGCTAGAATTTAAGAACATTATTTAATTTCCCCTACATTAAAATTTATTTTTAAGGGTACCTTCTAATGATGTCCAGGGATGCTGGCCTTTCATTTGCAGTGTGTGTGTGTGTGTGTGTGTGTGTGTGTGTGTGTGTTTAATCATTCTAAGTAGAAAAGAATGGGTCAATTAAATGAAAAAACAAACAACAACAAAAATCAATAATAGTGCTGTGTACATAGAAGTGCCCAAAAAAAATGAGAGTGGTTTTCAAATGACAGAAGCTTGAGAGACAGTGCATTGGGTAAACCAGGTAGAAGTTTTAAGCCATCGGAGAAAAAGAGGAAGAAAGAAGCCTTAGGGAAATGACTGCTATTCTAGTCAGATATAAAACATTGAAAACGCACTTGATCCCTTTCCCAAGAACAAGGAAAGGCAACCAAAGTTAGAAGAGATACGTACTGATGGATACCTCTCCGTCAAAGGCATTGGTCAGGTTTGTGATTGCGGTACAATCTTCTCCTTGCGGTGCTAGGAGGTAAAAAAGAAAAAAGTCACGAGAACTCCAAAAAGTATGAGCAAAATCAATTCCCATTTCTTTTAGTTAATTAGGATGGAGTTTCATTATAACTTATTGCAAATATTTTCCTTTTCTGAAATTTGGTAAAGTCTCCTGGGAACCTCTCTGGCCTCTGTGATGCATTTTTCATTTTTATTTTGCTTTACACATTTTTTTGGAAGCTCACTTGTTATTCTTCCCATCCCAACAAATTCATTCATTAACAAATACCTATGTTCTATATCAGGCATTGTGGAAGGTTGGGGGTACAACGATGAATAAGATAGGCATGGTCTTTCTCTCATGAAGCGCACGTTAGCGTTGCTTGTCAGCAAAGAGCAAGGAAGAAAGGAATGGATGGATGGATGGATGGTTGGTTGGTTGGATGGATGGGTGAATGGAGGCAGGCAGGCAGATTGCTATCACAAGGAAGGCTATTATCACAAATATTTTAAGTGTCCTGCCATACCCCACTTGGTATAGTAACATTAGACAAAAACACAAGTTGAACAAAACAGCGTTTGGTTGCTTCCCAGTTCCTAGGAGATATTTTCCCATAGATAAAGGGATGTCCTTTACCTGCCTATTTCTTTGGCCTCATAGTGAAACTGAAGGGCAGCAAGTTTTAGGAAAAGCCCTTCTTGCAAAGGCTGATTCAAAGATTTCTCAGAAGAGAGACTCTTCAAAGAGAAAGTTGCCTCCTTGGGAAGTACATTCCTCACCATCCAATGTAAACTAGCCCCTCAACACTCCCCCATGCCTGTCACTATCACACATGGTCTGCTCTCATTTCTTCTTCTACCGCTACCTAAAATTATCATGTTCATTTTCCTCGATGACTGCTCATGGCACATCTCCCAACCCCTACCATCTGCTGCACACCCACCTCAAGATGAGTAGGAACCTTATCTGTCTTGGCCAGGATATTTATGGGGGCAGAGAGGGGCTCAAATATTTGTTGAATGAATGAAAAAGGAAAAAACGTCCATTCTTCTAGTAAACACACCTGAGATGGAAACCCCCAAATAGTCCGCAAATATAAACAGGTCAAAAAACATTTAGGTAAACCCTGAATAGCAATGCCATGAGAAATAATTAAAGGCAACTCCAGATAAATCAGTCCATGTATTCATTATTATAGGTATTTACTTAACACATAATAAAAAGGAAGCCAAAAAAAAAATGTTCTTGTACCTGCTTTTGAGGAATTCACAAGATCATGAAGGGCAATAATAATTAACATTCTTTAGATTTTTATAGTTTTCAAAATATTTTTCCAATAAATCCCTCATTTAAGAATCAGGGCAAAAATTCGATCTAGGTGATATTGAAGAGCATCTACCCAATCTGCCAGGGGCGGGGTTGGGGGGGGGGGGGGGGGGAGACACCACCAGAACTGGCCTGACCTGTGACATGCTTCTGACATTGTTACATTATACAGGCCTAGACTCTGACCTTGGATTATGACTTCTTAATGGCAGGAATGGAAGAACACCCCGCTCCCCCCAAATTCAAACATAATTGCAGGTTACACTGGGAATTTCTAGGAGTTAAGTTGTAATAGAAGGGGGCATGATGTCAAAAACTCTAAGAGAGTTTTGTAAATGATTAGAGCATTTGTTCAAATGGACCCCCTTCAGGCTCCAATTCACCTTAACTCCTATGAAGAACATCAAATCTGGCAGGCACACTGGCAGGATGGTGACCCAAATGTGCAATCAATACATTCATGCTCCCGTGTCAGACAGCAGGGCCTCATTAGAAGGCCTTTCATTCTGTTTAATGAGCATTGTGTTGCTGGGAGAAGCAGGCCTGGTGGGGTCTTACTGAACCTAAAGATTTGTTAGAAAGACTCTGAGGTGAGCTTCCTGGTGGGCTGCATCTCAAAACCTTGCCTCCACTGCACCAAAAACAGCCAAGGAAATGTTAACTATTTTAGCCCATCACTCGGCCCCAGATAGAAAGATACCTTCCTCTAGGCCTGATACATCCTAGGTATCCAATAAATATTTGTTCAATAAATGAGTGAATGAATAAACAAGTAAATATAGAATCTTCCCTAAATTTCTCCTTCAAAAGCGAGGCATTTTATTCAAAGCCAACTTTAAAAATGAACTCATTCAAGTGAGTCCTCTGTTGTTTACACAGAAGCCACCAGGCTCATGCTGGGCCTTCTCGCTGACAGATGAGGCAATAAAAATCACCAAGCCTTTGCAGGGTCTGCCTTATTCTCATTTGTAAACCACAGGCTGTGTTTTATAAAAACATTGCTGAAATTGTAAGCATGCAGAAGCTATCTGCTAAGATTGAGCTGGCTTTGGTCCCTGCAACCAGTTTGCCAGGGGAGGGGCGTGGAGCGCATCACTGGGTCCTGCTGGTAGTTCTCAGGCTGAGCTGGATGCAAGGATCTTTCCACTGAGATCCGTCACATTGTGCAGAGGTTATCGAGATCTGTAGCTCACTTAATTAATATCCCCATCATCTGACTCTCAGCCAAGACAGTTTAATGAAAGCAGTTTATCTTTAGATAAACATTCTTCTTAACGTCTTCACTTTTTGTCTTTGTTGCTTCAACAAGATTAACTCTCAAGATAAGAAATATGGTCCCCTGCTCTTTCTCATTCCACTCTGCCCTGCACAGTGCTCAGCGCACATAGCCGATCAACCAACAGACTTAAAAACTTCATGAAAAACTTAAAAAAGCAGCCTGCCCATATTGAGTAAATTGGGAAAAGAGAAAAAGATAAATGTCACTCTGAATTTCACGACTTTAATACAGCCACTTTGCTATGCAGTACACCCCCAGGACTTCTCAACTTTTCATCGCCCAGAGAGGAGGGAAGTGAAGAATACTCTTCAATCACTTCTCTGAGGACAGGCCCAATCTCTTGGGTAAAAATAAGGACCGGGAGAAAAGTCTCCGTAGTAACTTGCCTAGATGACTTCATTTCCAGGCAATAAAACAAGGTGAGCTTCTACCTTTTTGAATTAAGGTTCTTTTCAGCAAGTGACAGCCACTTGTAAATCAGGTGAGACAATGTGGATATGCAACAGCATAATTTATTGCAGACATTCACTCAACACAGCTCAGTGGGAGACAGAGCAGGCAGAACCCAGAGACACTCTAAGGCAGTGGTTCTCAACCTGTGGGTCGCAACCCCTTTGGGGGTCGAACGACCCTTTCACAGGGGCCACCTAAGACCATCGGAGAACACATATATAATTGCATATTGTTTTTGTGATTAATCACTATGCTTTCATTATGTTCAATTTGTAACAATGAAAATACATCCTGCCTATCAGATATTTACATGACGATTCATAACAGTAGCAAAATTACAGTTATGAAGTAGCAACAAAAATAATTTTATGGTTGGGGGTCACCACAACATGAGGAACTGTATTAAAGGGTCGCGGCATTAGGAAGGTTGAGAACCACTGCTCTAAGGTATGCAGTCTGGTGCTAGCCCTTTTCCATAGGGCCACCCCCCTCACCTAAAGCAGAGTCTTCCCAACTCTCCCATGAGCTCTGGCACTAAGATAAGTTAGCTAGACCACATGTGGCTCTGTGCCTATTTCCTCATTATTTGCATGGGGTTTTTCTCATTCTCATGTCACTAGAATGGACATTCTGGGTATGGGTATGGGACCTGGGTATGGGCCATGTACTGTGTAGCCTCAGTTGGACTAGCCTCCTTTTGGTCAAATGCCATCTGTGTTCTTTGTTCATATGATAGGGAGGCGTAAATAGTCTACATTTTTCTCCTAATTTTGAATGTTCCTCCATAGGTTTAGTGACCTATAATATTTTTGGTCACTCCATTTCAACTAACCAGCCCTGGTAATTTCTCTTTCTCCTAAACTCTAGATTTCCCCTCAGAATTCTCACTCTGATCCCTACTGCTCATGCAACAGTGGGTGGCATGGCATAGTCTAAAGCTACTGATGTAATCCCACAATTTCTTGGATGTCCCTACTTTAGCTTAAAAAGCCATGCAGATTTTATATTCTACTACCATATATAAAATCTGTTTGCCTCATAAAAATAATGCCCTAAGTCATTATCTAACAATATCTGTGTTTGTCTCATACTGAAAATGTCTTCAGTCACTTGCCAGCTAATTAAAGACAGGAAGTCTGCCCTTCCTGTCTTTAAGGGAAACTGGCACGCCAGGTACAAGTGTCAAGTTTACCTGGTGTCTTTATCATCCCCTTCACACAAACTCAAACCTTTTGGGGGAGCAGAAGGCTTGGTTTGAGAAGGAAGACATTTGATGGTTGGCATTCAAAACATTCACATTTATGGGTTTGACCCTTCTCAAAAGACCCTGAAGATTCACGATGCAAAGAAATCTTTAGTGTTGCTGGGGCCTGAATTAAACTTGCAAACTTGTGTTTTTAGGCCAGGAGTTGGAAGCAAGCCCCTTAGACAGGGAGGGGCCTGGCCTGCCCAGCATGCACTTCTTAAGGTCGTTTCCTTATTCTCTAGTTGTCAGGCTCCCAACTCTTGGGTAGGTAGGGACACTCGACAAGGTCAAAGGCGTACCATGTCCTCCCAACCTTCTCTCCAGCTCCAACATATGATCAATATCTCTAAGCTAAGCCAGTTGCTTTGTATTCCCATGCTGTCCTTGGATTCATGTAACCCCACCATCCAAAACCCTGAGTGACTTCCCATCACACTGAGAACAAAACCCAAACTCTCAACCGTGGCCTACAAGGCCTTAGGTGATCTGGCGCCTGCTTCCCTCTCTGACTTCATTCCTTGGCATTCTCTCCTCTGATCGCCTGGCCTCCCTGCTGTTCCCGGAACAGGCCACAATGCTCCCCACGCTGCCTGGCTTTGCACCGGCTACCCGCTCTGCTCGTGGCTCCTTCCCGCATTTCACGCAGGGTTTCTCCTCAGAGGCTCTTTCCCTGACCACCTTCTCGGAAGAAAGCTCCCCTAGCACTCTGAAGCCTCTTGCTCTGCCTTCCTTTTTACAGCTCTTCTCTCTCCCTAGCTTCAGAGAAGGTATTTCATATTTACTAGCTTACTGTTGGCCTCCCCAGCTTAGCTGGCAAGCACCCTATAGACAAGAATTTTCTCTCTGCTGCCGATGTTCCCCGAACATCTGGAAGCTCCGTGAACCCCCACGCATGCCCAGATTGAACTGCTCTTGGCCATGCTGCCACGGGCTTGCCTGCCAAAAGCGATCCCAAACACAAAGGCAATCCACTTGGAACCAACCTGAAGCATTGTAGCAGTACGTGTCGTACTGGGAGGTGTTGGAGGTGAGGATGTACACCCCTGTGTTGTTTGCGGCACAGATGGGGTTGGGGTGGATGCGGGGAATCACCACGTGCCCTTCTATGAACCCGTACCTGCAAAAGAAACAGCAGCGGTTAGCCACCTGCGAGGCCGTGACGGTATCTCATCCCATCCCATCAAATGACATGTCATGCAGCGCAACGCTTCATTCAACTCACCCTGAAGGGGTGTTTAAGGTTTCAGCCAGTGAGTTATGTGAAATCCAAAAATAACAGCAGAGGGAGCGTGAGAGGGATCAAGGCTGATAGAAACAAAGTGATTTCACTTAGGGCTCTATAAAAGCTTTTTTTTTTTTTTTAAAAGGGATTCGTGAAAGAAAATAGTTTCAAATAAAAGTTGTGGTCAAGTCAGTTTAGACAAGCAGAAGGAAGTCCAAGTCACAGAAGAGAAAAGAATGACCACTTTATGATGTGGATCCACGGTGGCTCCCCATGACTTTCATACTTTTTCAGAAAATGCATAAAATGACCAGCTCCCTTACGATAGAATTAGGTGGCTGATCACTTCAGCCCACAAATGTCAAATCTGCCTCATTTCCCATCCCCACGCTTCTCTCCCCGCCTCGCCTTTTCCTGTGATCCCTTCGTTCCAAACTCCGTTACTCTCCACACGAAGGCTTGTTCATATGCCAGATACATGAGCATTTCGCCTCATGAGCATCCCAGGCAGAATTTCATTGCCGGTGGAAGTAAATTGACCGTCATTAAAATAGGAGTAACAGCGATTAAGTCAGTAGATAGCAATGCCTCATTTAGCTCAGGAATTTTCCAGAAGCATCACAGCCAGAGAAGCATTTAAACCGCTCTGCATCCCCCACCCCCAAGGTATTTCTGGGAGCATGTTGGAGCTGGAGACCCTTTCAGATAAAACATACAGCACCCAGCCTCTTCCATCAGCATCATGGTGGCTACTCACTGCACAATTTCTCCGGAATATAAATGCCCCAAACAAAAAATTTGCAAGGGACGAGGTGGTGGCAGGGGAAAGGCAGAGAAGGAGAAGCTAAATCCAGTAGGTTTTTTGAAAAATGCAAAGCTAAGGCACAGCTTTGATCCTTTTAATCTCTCCTGACGATAGCAACAATAGTGCATGACCCTGCAAGACCCGTGGAAATGGCTGTGAGTTTGAAATTTCCAAGCACATAGAACTCATTAAGTCTATGTTGCAATTGCAGCTTGCATGACTAATTCCTCATCTAAACAGACAGACTGGTTTCTCCAAAGACTCCTTAGCTTGGTGGGGGGAGGGGTCGCAATTAAATGTCAGTAAGTTTCCATATATCTGAGAATTGCTACTAATCAGGGTGGGGCAGACAGCTAAGGTTTTCTCATAGCCTGAGACTCTGCCATCTGTGCTATGGCACATAGCTGATTCATGGCTACCTAAATGAAATTATGGAAATGCGTTTTGCAATGCTTACTTTCAGCTATGGGTGGAACCATAGATTTCTTTGGCACAGTGTTTCTCTTTTTCTTTTTTAAATGATAATACCTGGTGAGCCTACTCCCATCCCACCCTTACTGCATGCACCAAGTCTGTTGTACACTGACAATGTAGAGCAGCGGTTCTCAACTTGTGGGTCGCGACCCCTTTGGGGGTCGAACGACCCTTTCACAGGGGTCTCCTAAGATCATCAGAAAACACATATATAATTACATATTGTTTTTGTGATTAATCACTATGCTTTCATTATGTTCAGTTTGTAACAATGACAATACATCCTGCATATCAGATATTTACATTACGATGCATAACAGTAGCAAAATTACAGTTATAAAGTAGCAACGAAAATAATTTTATGGTTGGGGGTCACCACAACATGAGGAACTGTATTAAAGGGTCGCGGCATTAGAAAGATTGAGAACCACTGACCTAGAACCTACATTCCCTTGTTAAGTTATTCTTGAGTTTTTGTCACATCATGTCGATGGCCAGTTTTGGTGTCACACTGTACATTTGGGGATATTAACATTTACATGTGTGTATATTGCATGAGTAGGTTGCTGTTCACAGAGAGAAAAGAAATACTCAGCACATCCGTGCATCATGCCTGCATCTCCCCTTTGCTCTCAGTCCTTCCTTGGGGTTTGGTCATTAAAATCTTGCCCTGAGCTCAGGCGAAGTAGGACCTGAATCTGGACTCCTCCCCATGCCAGTGATGTGGCCCAGGGTGAGCTGGGGAACTTCTCTGAGCTTTTGTGGCTTCACCCATAAGTAGGGTAATATAATCTACCGTGGTGCCCTTCGAGGGTTAAGTGAGGGGTTGTGGGCAAGTGCCCAGCATCTGTGCGCTCACTGATGGGCAGTGGAAAGAGTAATAACTTCCCTCTTTTTCAGCCTAGGACAGCAGTTCTCAACCTGTGGGTCACGACCCCTTTTGGGGTCAAACGACCCTTTCACAGGGGTCGCCTAAGACCATCCTGCATAGCAGATATTTACATTACGATTCATAACAGTAACAACATGACCGTTATGAAGTAGCAATGAAAATAATTTTATGGTTGGGTCACAACATGAGGAACTGTATTTAAAGGGCCAGAAGGTTGAGAACCACTGGCCTAGGAGAACATGTCTGTATTCTGTAAGTAGGCCTCGTCTGCATTTCACAATCAAAATTCAGCTCACTAAATCCACTCCCTTAGTGGATTTCTCTTGCTGACCTAGTCCCAGCCATGGTTAAACAATTTGTCTTGGGAATAGAATCAATGGATGTGCTAACCGGTCTTCCTTCATTGCAGACCACAGTGCAGGGTGAGCAGCCAGCAGAGCTAGCTCCCTTTCTCTGCTCCTTTCATGTTCTCGCCAACGTATCTCTGAATGCATACAGATGTCTTCTACAGCCGCTCTCTGCTTTAGAGCAATGCTGCGCAATCCAACTGTCTGTGATCATGGACCCAGTCTGTAATCAATGTTGTCCCATACAGGAGCCACTAGCCATTTGTAGCTAGTTGAGCACTTGAAATGGGCCACTGAAGAATCCAGGTTTTCATTTCATTTCATTTTTATTAAGTGTAGATCGCCGCAGGTGGCTATGGTTACCGTTTAAGACATAAAGGTTTTCCTTTTGAGCAAGAACCTCCGCCCCTACTCATAAAGTGGGTATCTTACTCTCTAACCAAGGGCACAGATTGATGTATTGAATGTTCCTGGTGTCATTCCACTGCAAAAGCACAGAAGGGGTAGCGGTGGACTAGGATGGAAACCTAGCAGTTGTTCAGATGACTTAGAGTGTGTCTAGTGGAAGCCAACCAAAGCATACACTTCACTGTGGCCTTCACCACAGCTTGCTCTTAAAGTGCACCCCTCCACCAAGGGTTTGAGGAAAGCTCCACGGAGCACGTGGTCTCCACAGAAGCCGCCCAGGAGGCCCTCCTGTGTCCCTCCCATTCTTTCCCAGTCGTTAGTAATTTGTCTTAATAATTTTCATGCCCCCCCCCTTTTTTCAACCCTCTCAAACTAAAGCAACATAGAAGAGAATAAAGAAACAAACAGAAAGAGAAGGTTGCTTGAAAAATCTGCTTTAAGCCAAGTCTGCAGGGCCTAGACTCCGCCAGGCACATATTTATTTTAATCCCTGTTATTTGGTTTACGTTTTCTTGCGGTTCCGACAATAATATTGCACGTTTCTTCAAAGCCAGGAGAGCGCCATGTGGAAGCACGGCAGGCATTAGGATTCCGGCTGTTGACCCTTAATGGCCTCCTCTGGGCAGCCCCGCTATCATTTACAAGGGTGTCTTTAGAGGGCTTTAAATTTCCGCTGTCAGGCAAGTTCCAGATTGACGTGGCCAAATTAATAGGTGAGGCCAACAGGCAATCATCCAATCAGATACCAGGGAGGAGCCTTCCCGGTGCTAAGCCCCACCCCCTCGGCCAAGGCAGTCAGGGCTCCCAGTGGGCTCTCACCTGCAGGTCTCAAACCCCGCTTGCCAGGCTTTCTCCATCTGGGCCATGGTGGGCAGGGTGCAATCGAAAGCCTTGCAGAGGTCAGCTGCCTCAGTCCGTGAGATGCTGTAGCGACCATTTTTCTCCACATGGAATACGCCTGCGTACCGGCAGGTTACATTCAAATCTATGGGATGAAACAAGAAATGTTAATATTCGTTTGCATACATAATGAGGGAGGGGTACGAAGTTTGTTTTTGAGCAGCCTCGTTCAAAAAGCCAAATAAACTTCTCTACTGCTCCAACATTCCAAAGCACCATCACACCAGTGACTAGGCTCAAATCTGAGCTAAGACACAGTAAAGTCCCATCCCTCCGACTTCCTCTCCATCAATTGCTGCACAACAAACTCCTTTAAAAGCATATGATTGGGAGCGCTGCTAACCACGTTGGGTTTGGCGCTGCTTGCTTGAAATCGAATTTTGCTCAAACAAACTCTTAAAATGTTGAATAAGCCTCAGTTTGTCTCTAATGGCGCAGCCGCTTTAAAAGGCCATTTGACGGTTTCTTACAAAACTAAGCATTCTCTTACTATTTGATTCAGCGATCACAGTCCTGGGTAGTTCCACAAAGGAGTTGAGAACTTACGTCTACACAAAAACCTACACACAGCTGTTTGTTCACAATTGCCAAACTTTACAATCAACCAAGATATCCCTCAATAGGTGAATAAGTAAAAATAAAAAGCATATGACTTATGTCTGATGATTAAAGCAATACAAACTTGTTGAAAACTTACAAAATTCTGGAAAGTAAGGAAGGAAAAGCCAGTCCACCACTAAGAAAGCATGGCTTCTTAGTGACTCTTAAACGTTTTGTTGCATCTTCTTTTAGTTTGTTTTCTGAATATGTGTATGTGTGTTTCTAGTTAAAATAATACTAAATACACAATTTTAGATTTGGGGGTCTTTTCTCCCCACATTTTCCCACAATCATGTGGTCTTGCTCCCTTGCTTAGAATCTCCACCGGCTTCCGGCTCCACCCAGAATAAATAAGATCTTATCTGCTGATAAGATCTACGTGTTCTGGCTCCTATCTCCCTCTCTAAACTTTAAGTAGCTTGCTCTGCTTCGGTTCCTTTGGGCATTCTGGGCTCTTTCCCACCTTCCAACATTTATATCTTCCTTTCCCTCTGTCTGGAATGTTCTGTCCTCGGATTATCCCATTCTTGTTTGTCAACTCCACATCACCTCTTAGCGTCCTTCCCTGAACACTCTAATCCAATTCTCGGCGCCTCCCTCACCTCACCTGGCGTTTGTGTCTTCACAGCAACATGTTTATTTATTTGTGCGTTTAGTTATTATCCATCTGCCCTTTCTGTGATGGAAGCTCCAAAAAAAAAAAAAAAAAAGGAAAGGCCTTCCACTGGTTTACAGCTGTGTTCTAATGCCCACAACAGTACCTGACAGAGAGGGGATGCTCAACGAATATTGTTGAATGAATGAACGACTCATTAAAACATCTTCAAAAACACACTTGTAACATCTTGACAGATAGGTCTGAGGCCTGATGTTTGCTCCCAAGAGTTAAGGACATCCCCTGGGAAACCTAACTGCTATTCGTTGGTGAAAGTGATCTGAGCCAAGGACTTCTGGGAGTTTTGCAGATATTAATCTGAAATCTCAATAAGGAGCTGAACGATCCTCTGGTTCCATAGGATCCTCTGTAACAATCTCAAGAGACTGAAAAGGCCTTCATTGAAATCTCATTATTTTTCTGGAACTGTTATCCCCGTGTGCACTTGAGTAAGCCCCAACACCGAAGGTGACGTTATTGACACCGTCCTGGTGAAGCCTAATTCCTCCTGAGCACTTCCTCGAGCCTCCAAGACAGGAGGACTCCTGGATTCTTGCCGACAGTTCCTTGGGGACTGGTGGGCCTTGTGCCAGCCCAGGCAACACTGTGTTAGTTACCAGCCAGGTCTGGATTCCGACAGATCTGGCTTTAACTCAAACTCTCTCTCATGTGTGCAGGTCTGCAGATCATCAGGAAGATTCTGCATATGAATCAGCAGGAACATTGAGACTCAGAGAACTGAGTTGCCCAAGGAAGTGAGGATTTCCGTCTCAAGCCTGTAGTCACTTTCCAGAATCTCAGGTGCTCTGTTCTATACTCTGAGCCAATAGCCCGGGTAGGGGAAGCCCACTACTGCATTGTCCCTGGGTACCCGGAACCTCTGGGGTTCTGTGTTGCATCAGTTTCTGAGAACCCCGGCGGGGGAGGGAGGGGTGTTTTTAATGTGTATCTGTACATATTACTTATAGGTGGAAAAACTAAAGCTCAGAAAAAGTAAGCAACTTTCCCAGCTATTAAGTGGCAGAGCTGGAATTTCATCTTAGGTCTGTTTAGATATCAAACCCATGTTCCAAACCACCTTGCCACTTGCCCTAGGACCTTGTGTTATTAGAACAATATTTTGCTCTGAAGGAGAGAGGAACGCCTACGCTACTGGGACATGAGAGCAGAGAGAGGGTCAGTATGATTGAGCTGTACAGGCAACAAGGACTCTCTCCTTTCTGAGCAGGAAGCAGGTTCCCACCCCTAGAAAACAGTGTCAGACAAATGCAAAGTGTGGTGAAAGTGAACTGTTTAAACTTCTGTATGCCCTTTCCTGACTTGGAAAACAGTGAGAGAAGAAACAAGCAATGACGCTTTGAAAAGACATAGTAGTAAGCCTATCTCAACTGGTTTTTGCCTTTGTTTGCATCATGAACATGGAGGTGCTTTAAAAAACCTCAGAAGTAGGAGAAATGGAGAACATGTGTTTTGGTATGAGATTCATTCCTTTTTGTCTGTAACGATGTCCCTCTTAGCCAGTCACACAGCACGTGGCTGATGAAGCAAAAGAAGCAGAGAGGAGGGAACCTTTTGAAATACTGTTTGTTTTTACGGACATTTTCAGCTTTGGCGTCTGTTGGCCTATCTTAGCAAAGGGAACCTTGTCACGCTGGATGGCAGCCCTTTTGGGGGCTCTCCTTGTCTAGCCCACCAAGGAAAAACAAAGTGTCCCCATTCGCTTCTTGGAGGCCAGGCTGGGAGGGGAGACTTCAGTAGATGGCAGGAGAGGCCCACTGCCTGTCCGTGCTCAGCCAGGCGGCTGCTGTCACTCCCCGGCTAAAAAGAAAGGCCGAGGCGTGGCAGAGGTTTGGCGCTCCATGGCAGTTTCTGTCTTATTAAAATAGATTCTAGTTTGCTACCTGGCACACAGATATGCAAAGGCAACAGGAACCAATTCAGGTTGAGACTTTAGAATAAAACCCTTCCTGCCACAGCCAATGTAACTTGATAGACAATACCCACATGCATTGTGCGAGTGTGTCTGTATGTGTGTATGCAAGTAGCGGTGTGTGGTTGTGTGTACTCTGCTCAGCCAAGACAGGAAGAAACAGGTAAACTTAATCTTCAGCCCCAGGTTTAAACAAGGTCTGACAGACAGCAGGCATCAGCCAAGGGCTGCCAAATGAATGAAGAGATTCTATGCAAATGTGAAAATTCCACAACATCCACTTATCTTAACCTCATGAAAAAGTCCAACTCTTAATCCTGACGGCACTCGGCCATCTGGAATTGTGAAGATGGTGCCAAAACTTCATTTCAGGTCAACTAGCCCATGAGTGTTCACAGTTCCTTCCCTCTGGGTCCTTGATACCTTAAAAGGGACCAGACCTTCAGGGCTGTGTGTCCTTCCAGTCCTGATAACTTATGATGACTTCCCAAAGGGCTTCCTCAACACTTATGCAAACCAAAATTCTTACCCCAAAGGGTATTGTTAATAGTAACAATGGCAATAACACAATAAATACATCTTGTGTGTTTATTATGTATATGCCGGACACTATTCTAAGCACTTTACAAGGACTGACTCATTTTACCCTTAAAACAACCCTAGGAAATGGGTTCCATTATTATCCCCACTTTCCAGATACAGAGACTGAGGCACAGAGAGGGGGGAAACATGCCCAGGTTCCCAGAGCTGGCAATGATGGAGCCGGGATTCAAATCCAGCCAGTCTGGCACCAAGAGTCCACAGGCTTATCCACTACTTAACTGTACACTTGATTTAAGGAACTTTTTATGGCCTCTCAGCCCCCAATGTATGGCTGCTAATATTCCCAAGGTCTAAGTAAAGTTAGAGCAAGGCTGAGGCGTGAATAGCCATGGACCACAGATCACTGGCGAGCCCGTGTCTGTGGCAGTAGTACTGGCCACGCTGCAAACCCTGCAGACACACGGGACTCCTGAGATGTCTGTACGCCTCTCCTGAGAAACAGGCCCCTGTGATTAGGGATCTGCTGTGACTCAAGAGGCTCATAGCAACTGGCTGATGTGTCTTTCAAACAAGCCGTTCCAACTGGAAATAAATCAAGAACGTTTTCCGTTGAGCCCTCTGGTCTCCAATAAATCTCCTGTATCATGTAATAAATGAACAGTCCCAAGTTCCTCCCTCTGAGACACCCAAAGGGCAACTTTAATGGGTTGAGGCCACTTTTAGATTCCGGGTGGAGCCCCTCTGGAGGGAGAAATGCCACCCAGGCCATTAAGGTGGCCAAGAGGACAGAGGGGTCACGGGGCCCAGCACCCAGGGATCTCTTCACCAACATGGGAAGAAGTTTGTCAGTGTGAGCTTTTAGGAAGATTTCAAAAAGGAGCTCTCTAAGAGTGTCTATTGTTTAACCTACTCCGGCACCAAACTCACAAGAAGGTTGGTAGTTCAGTATTCTAACCTCTGTGCTATGCTGCCAATATGGCAGGTTCTGGGTAAGGTCATTCTTACTTGGATAAGCCATAGCTGACCCATGACACCATTAATCTTAACTTTCTTTTCCACCAGCCTCAGATCAAGGGAAATAGGTTTCTTTAGTAAAATCACCCCACCTCGTTTCCAAACTTTGCCTAAATTCCAGGGCCTGAGATGAACAGCTTCTTGGTTTTACCCCAGTTGTTTCCTGAGTAGAAAATCACAGGATCTGCTGGGAGTACAGCACTGTGTAATTTTCACCCAACTTGCCATTACCTACATCTTCCCAAACTTTCCTGAGAGGTGGGTGGAGTGGGGTGTCACACAGCTGGTTAGCCATGGAAGTTTTCAACCTGGAATCTACACGCTGATTTTCAGGGGATCTATA